GATTTATGTTTGTTGGAGACCGCAATGGGAACCTTTTTTCTGTGGCCATTTTTTAGCCTGTGGCTGGGTGACAGTGAGCAAACTGTTTGTCTATTGCGGTCTTTGTTTGTCCCACATTAATATTTTCCGGCAAATGGCTTGGCAGCTCTCAATGTAACGTACATAGTATAGTTGTTAATTTTATTTTGGTATTAATTATATTAATTGATATATTTTAATTATATTAAAATATATATATTTAAAGATTATTTTTTATATCAAATTTAATATTGAATAATATCAATTGTTACCATTAATTTCAGCTTGTTTAGATAAATTTTGATAAAATAATATATTTTTATCGGTATATAAGTGTGAAATATATTTTATAACTTTAAATTTATTTTTTGTTATTTAATTATTTTTAATTTAATAAAAATAAAATTAATTTACAAAATAAACCTCTCATTGGTTAATTTCTGTACAGATCCTTCCACCTCCAATTTCAAGGTCAGATTTTGATAAGGTACTTGCTAGGCAGAGGCCAACAGTGAGCAAAGCTGATCTTGAGGTCCATAAAAGATTTACAAATGAGTTTGGAGAGGAAGGTCGATGGATTCGATGAAATTGTCGCATTGACCTATTCTACTTGTGAGTGCAATCTCTGTTATTTGTATTTTATTAATAACTGCAGGATCATCCAAGAATGTCTCTATTTATATTAAAAATATTTATTTAAATATTATATGATTAGATTAAATATTTAAAAATATTATAAAAAATTTATGGTATTATTTTTTATATCTTTAAATTTATTTATTTAATTTTTAAATATTTTGTATATTTATTTTATAAATTATTAATAATATTATAATACACAAGTTCATATATATTTATAAATATATTTATATTAGATTAAAAATTTTAAAATAATATATTAAAATAATTGATATCATTATATATCATATTTCTTTAAAAAATCAAAACATTATCCCATATGATATTTAACAATTTTAGTCCATAGTTTCAACCTTCACTGATTATCAGGAAAATCCTTCTGTCTCTGATCTCTACCTTTACTTCTTCACTCCTCAGCTCGTGCACTGGCACAATAGGCACTAGAACTATTTCTTGCCAGTATATCTGGAAGTCGAGCAAAGCTGAAGGATCTATAAAATATTACCCTACTTAAAATGTAAGCAAAATAAGTCGCAATAGTTGGATAAAATAACTAACATTTGTACACTAACAGTCATCTCATGCACATGATCAGTTTCTCCAAGTTAAGAAATCAGAAGAAAAAGATAAGAGCAGTGTTCAATTAAAGCACAGCCTTTTTAATGTGTCAGAGGCAGGGCTTTTAATTAAATAGTGTTAGTGATGGGCCTAATGGTTACAAAACTGGAAAATGGTGTTGGGTAAATCTGTTTCCTCTCCACTTGCTAATTTAAACCTCATGAAAAACCCAAAGAACACCGGAACTTTTAAAAGCCAAATTTAGAAGCCATGTAGTTACACGGTCCAAACCTGAGCCGTTTTCCCCCTAGATAAAAGACAAAAACACTATCCAAGTACATAGCAAAACCAACTCTTTGAAAATTGTCATTCACGTGCTCTTTCTTAAGTTACTACAGATTCACGTGTTTCAGATATGGATGGTCTTAATGAACAGAGCTATGAGCTTTGATTGTTAAAGGGTGAAGGTGACAGGTTTTTCCAATTGGAATGGCCATAAAGAGTCGCTATCAAATCATTATTGTATATATTCCCATACTAGTTTAGCAAAAAAAATAACAATTTGACATATTCTCTGTCTTTAGTTTTAACAGGTTTTGGACAATTTAGCGAAGAACAGCATACTTTTTCATGTCTTTGGGGGGAGAGAATCCCAAGTTTCTCTTATTTGGCAAGCTAGCTATATTCCGATATGACTCACTGTGGATGAAATTCTACGCTTGAGAGTTATTGCCAAAAGGTTTCCAAGAGAAAGTTGGAAAAAGAGGTTGCATTCTTAAATGGGCACCTCAAAGGGAGGTGTTAGCATATGATGTAGTGGGTGGATTTTGGACTCACTGTGGATGAAATCTACACTTGAGAGTGTCTCCGAAGGGGTACCAATGTTATGCAGGCCCTGTTTTGGGGACCAAGTTCTTAACATGAGGTGCATCTGTTATGTGTGGAAAACAGGCTTGTAATGGGAGAATCATTAGTTGGAGAGAGGGAAGATAGAATGAGCTATAAAAAATCTAATGGTGGATGTAGAAGGAGATGAGAATAGAAATAAAGCTATGGATTTGAAAAGAGAAAACGGAAGATTGTCTAAGAGAAGGGGGCTCTTCATTCAGGTAATTGAATGAGTTCACAAAGCTAGTTTGATTGCATGATGATCTGATGCAGATATACCACAAATCAATTACATTCCCTTGAAATGAAGGCCAGTATGCTTTGGCCAAAAAGAAAAAGAAATTATAGTAGTATTTAGTATAATGCAGGTTTCAAATAACGATTGTATAATAGAATAGTGATCGCGAAATTGCGGTAGCATCACCATCCGTCATCGTTATTGAGAAAAATACGATTGAAAAATTAAATCACACTCAAAACGTTGTGTAACAGCCGTTAAAAAACAATGTAACGAAACATAACGACAATAACAGACCGTTATTGCCACTATTTTCATTTTTTTAATTATTGGTTCAAATTAAACAGAAAAAAACTTCAATCAACAATAATCTTAATTCAATCTTCAAGTTACTCAAATTCCAATCAGTCTTAAGTCTTGAATCAACAATCAAAATTAAAGAAGATAAGAAAAAGTTAAATTACCTTTTTATTTGTAAAATTTTTGTAAAATAATGTTGATTTTTATGATAATATGAGAGAGATGATATTGAGATACTCGGTAGGCAATGACATTGATGAGGGTACGCGAGAGAGTGAGACAGATGCAGAGAGAAAAAGGGAGAGAAAAAGAAAACATGAAGAAGAGATGAACGAGGGTTTCTAGCTTGCTTTTCTGGTTATCAAAGTTTGGGGGAAATTTTGGGGGAAAAAGGGTGTCTGAGGGGATGCGTGGGGTGGGTGGATGCGTGAGTTTTTATTTATTTAATTTTATTAAAACATAAGTTTAAAAATTTTTAATTTTTGAAAAAAAATATATATATATATATAGATTTTAGATGAAAACTTTTAATAAATTTTTTTGTATAAGTTAGAAAAAATAATTAAAATTAAATATTATAATTTGATTTTATTATTTATTAATTTATTATTTTATATTTGAAATTTAACAATTTTTTTATTATTTGGTATTTATATTGTTATCAATTCTTTTGTTATTAGATTAATTCTTGTTAATTTATAACTATAATTGATGAATTTGAAATTATTATATTTTTAAGTTTGTAATTTTATTAAATATGAATGCTTGATATTTAACGTATTATGTTTAGTTAATATTTTGATTTGTTTAGAATTAATTTTGAATATGAACTTGGCTCAAGTAAAAATTTTGTTGCTAAACCAAATATAAATGTTTTATTATAATCTAATAAAATTGTGAATTTAAAAAATAAAAAACATAGATGTTATAAACTGTGTTAAAATAAATAAATAAAAGTTTTTATAATTATAATTATAATTATTATATTTTATAATAAATTGTGTAAAATTAAAAAAAAAAATTACGATGACTGCAATGATCTCCGTTATGTCCAAAAACACGATAAATACGACGCGATCAAAAACATAATTACGATCATTATTTTATAACATGCTTAAGTTTAAAATTCAATAGCACTTACTTTAAAAGTATTGGAACATTCTTTTATTAAAACACATGAAACTAAAATCAGATATCATTAGTTTGATTAAGCCCAATGAAACTAAGATCATTATACTTTCAGTTTATGGTAGTATGGCATTTGTACCATTTTACATTAGTAGAGAACACCTTACAATAATATAACAAACTAAATTCACAAAAAAAAAAAAAAAATTACAACATAAGGCGTAGTTATAGAAATCAAATTTCATTTTTCTTAACATACAACTCGAAACATAAGAGAAACTCTCAAATTCATTAAAAAAAAAAATGCTACAAAGCTTCTAACCAGAAATCTCAACGGCTTTGACATCAGGTTTCTTTTCTTCCTCCTTAGGAACAGTAACGGTAAGAACCCCATTTTCCAATGAAGCTTTCACCTGATCTATCTTCGACTTCACATTCTCAGGTAACCTGAACCTCCTCATGAACTTCCCACTGCTACGTTCAAGCCGGTGTCAGGTGTTGTTCTTGTCTTCCTTCTCAACGTTCCTCTCTCCGCTTATTTGAAGTACCCTGTCATCTTCGATCTCGACTTTCACTTCCTCTTTCTTAATACCTGGAAGGTCAGCCTTGAAGACGTGAGCTTCTGGGGTTTCTTTCCAGTCGATCCGAGTGTTGACAAAAGCAGATGTTTCAGGGGCATGTGTGGTGAGCGAAGAAGAAGAGAAAGGGAAGTCCTTGAAAGGATCCCATGCGTCAAAAGAGAAAGGATCGCAGATGCTGCTTCTTCGGTTGCCAAAAAAAACTTGGGATCATCGCCATTTTCTTGCTCTTTTATGAAATTAAGGATTATGAAGAACTGAATAAAATCGCAAGCCTTTAGTTGCAAACAAGTTCTCGCAAACTCTGTCAAGCTGTCTTGATGCCCTTTAAAGTAGAACATGTTTGGTATATGGAAGAAGCTTAAGAACAATCAAGTACTTTCTCATACTTGTGTTTTGGGCCTCAATAGAACTTTGACTTCTTCCGCAAGTCACGAATGTTTGAGAACTTGCTTGAATGGTCTGGACTCTTTTGCAAGTAAATAGACTTCAATGTTGAAATGGGCTTGTACTTAGTTTTCTCCATCGAACAGCACTAGAAAGAAGTCCAGATCATTCAAGTTAATTCTCTAACGTTCGCGAATCACAGCCCAAAAGAAAAGTTCGAGAGCACAATACATTCCTCTTCAGCTTGCTATATATACCCGACATGTGTAGCCTTAGTAGCGTCAGGAAGACAGAATCAGATTCTCGGAAACAATCAGCAATCAAACACTTAAATTCTCACTACGGTTTTGTTGATCTTTGTTTCGCAGTGTAAGAGAAATGGCAATGATTCCCAGTTTCTTTGGCAACCGAAGGAGCAGCGTCTTCGATCCGTTCTCTCTTGATGTTTGGGATCCTTTCAAGGACTTCCCTTTCCCTTCCTCACTCACCACGAATACATCTGAAACCTCAGCTTTTGCCAATACCCGAATCGACTGGAAGGAAACCCCTAAAGCTCACGTGTTCAAGGCTGATCTTCCAGGGCTCAAGAAAGAAGAAGTGAAAGTTGAGATTGAAGATGACAGGGTGCTTCAAATCAGCGGAGAAAGGAAAATAGAAAAGGAAGACAAGAACGACACCTGGCACCGCGTGGAGCGGAGTAGTGGCAAGTTCTCAAGGAGGTTTAGGTTGCCGGAGAATGTGAGGATGGATCAAGTTAAGGCTTCCATGGAAAATGGGGTTCTTACTGTTACTGTTCCCAAGGTGGAAGTGAAGAAACCTGATGTCAAAGTCATTGTGATTTCTGATTAAAAACCTGAAGGGCTTCAAGGGTTTTGTTGTTATTACGTACTTTGTCTGTCTGCTAGTATTTTCAAGTTTGAGAGGCCTTTAAAAAGAATAAACATGGTGGGATTGATGTTATAGTTAAATTTTGGTTTGTAATATTATAATATTACAGAGTTTTTGTCAATAATGTAAAATTGCTGGTATTAGTGTAACTGTTCCTTCGTTTTATTCACTTTGACCTTGCTAGATTCAGTTGCTCTATTTAAATAATGTATTTTAACCATTAAAAAATAATTTTAATAGGACATGTTGGGTATATGGAAGAAGCTGAAGAACAATCAAGTACTTTCTCATACTTGTGTTTTGGGCCTCAAGAGAACTTTGACTTCTTCCTCAACTAATGAATGTTTGAGAACTTGCTTGAATGGTCTGGACTTTTTTGCAATTAAATTGACTTCAATGTCGAAATGGGCTGCACTTAGTTTTTTCCGTTCGGCCTCATTTCAACAGCACTAGAAAGTAGTCCAGATCATCAAGTTAATTCACTAACATTCGCGAACCACCAGTTTTCATGCTCAAAGGAAAAGTTCGAGAGCATACTACATTCCCCTTCGGCTTGTTTAAATACCCAACATGTCCAGCCTTAGTAGCATAAGAAAAGACAGAATTAGATTCGTGGAAATAATCAGCAATCAAACACTTAAATTCTCGCTAACGCAGCTTTGTTGACCATTGTTTCACAGTTTTAGAGAAATGGCGATGATTCCCAGTTTCTTTGGCAATCGAAGGAGCAGCGTCTTTGATCCATTCTCTCTTGATGTTTGGGATCCTTTCAAGGACTTCCCTTTCCCGTCTTCACTCACAACGAATACATCTGAAACCTCAGCTTTTGCCAATACCCGAATCGACTGGAAGGAAACCAGTGACGCTCACGTCTTCAAGGCTGATCTTCCATGGCTCAAGAAAGAAGAGGTGAAAGTTGAGATTGAAGATGACATGGTGCTTCAAATCAGCGGAGAAAGGAAAATAGAAAAGGAAGACAAGAACGACACCTGGCACCGCGTGGAGTGGAGCAGTGGCAAGTTCCTCAAGGAGGTTTAGTTTACCGGAGAATGTGAAGATGGAGCAAGCTTAAGGCTTCCATGGAAAATGGGGTTCTTACTGTTACTGTTCCCAAGGTGAAAGTGAAGAAACCTGATGTCAAAACCATTGAGATTTCTGATTAAAAACCTGAAGGGCTTAAAGGTTTTGTTGTTATTACATACTTTGTCTGTCTGCTTGTATTTTCAAGTTTGAGAGGTCTTTAAAATGAATAAACATGGTGGGATTGATGTTATAGTTAAATTTTGGTTTGTAATATTATAATATTACAGAGTTTTTATCAATAATGTAAAATTGCTGGTATTAATGTAACTGTTCCTTCGTTTTATTCACTTTGCTCTTTCTGGATTCAGCTGCTCTGTCGAAATCATCTATTTTAACCATTTCAAATTCATTTTAGTGAGACATTCAAGATTAGAGAATGCTTCTATTTTCTATGATGCAATCTTGTCATATATGTTGCAAGGACGACGCTACTGTTGGCCTTAGTTTATTAATTGGCTGTAATTTTTTTGCTTTCCACAATTGGTTCTCTGTCAAAATGATGGAAAAACTTTCATATGTCATAGGAAGTTATGAAGAAAAAAAAAAAAAAAAACAGAAACTTCGTCAAAAAGTGTTTAATACTAACTGTTTTATGCTTTGATTTCTTATCTGTGCTTAGAAGTCCAGATTTGCTTATTGACTTCAAAAGCAGTGAAATACTCCCTAAATTCCTTCAACAATAATATTTTATACAGGCACTTAAGACTGTTCTTAAATTCCAACAAGTTTTCAAAAAGATCAAAAGACAAGCGACCGGTGCTGGTTCCGTGCCCTGGATCCGGTGTATCAGCTATGACACCGCTCAGCTAACATTGCACGCTGCAAATTCAAGTCCCATGTCACACTCTTGACTTCTCGTTCTGCCTATATCAAACGACCTATTTGATGTAGACAACTCTATGTATTTCCTTTTTATTTTTTTTGGATAAGCTAAATACCGTTATGGACTTGATAACTGTCGTAACACATTATAATATCATCATCAAAGCTTGCAGGGACACATAAATCCAATTTCAGGGACTGCGTTGAATGGTGTTGGTTCCATGTCGAGTTCAAGGACGCATGAAATTAATCCACTGCTTCAGCTCGGTACCCTTCTTCGTGCCAATGGCTTCTCAATTACATTTGCACACACTAAATTCAACTCTCCTAAACCAGCCAATCACCCTGATTTTACATTTCCATCAATATCAGATGCCCGTTTGATCGAAACGCCTCCTCCATGGATATAACTGATGTCATATCATGTCTTAACACGAGCCGCAAAGCCCCACTCTAGAATTCACTAACCCAGAGTATTGAAAGGGAGGAGGAAGATCATACTAGTAAGCTCCCATGTATTGATTATGATGGATCCATGTCTTTACAGAAGCTGTGGCACATGAACCGGAGCTCCAAAGCAACATGCTGGGAACCACTAGTGCTGCCACTCCCACTCCGCTCACATACTATTCATTTCCACTACTCCAGAAAGAAGGTTATATTCCATTGCAAGGTATATTTTCTTAACATTTGTGTTGCTCTTCAATAATAGCGATATAGTTGATACGTTAAAATCTTCATTGTCTATACTCGATACAGACGCCATGTTATTGGCCTTGGTGCCTGGAGTACATCCCCTCAGGTTCAAGGATCTGCCCATAGCCAATTTCGATCATCTTCAGCAGTCATTTGCAATTCTATAGCCTGCCTTAAACGGTCATTATTGGCACAGTTACAACGGCAGTGCAAAGTTCCTGTCTTTCCTATAAGCCCTCTCCATTTCTATTGTTCCAATTGCCAATAGCATTTTACTAAAAGAGGATAGAAGCTGTCTAGAATGGCTCGACGAGCAGACTCATAACTCATTTTTAGGAAGCACAGCTTCCATGAATCAGAACGAGATAAGGGAAAGAGCTAAAGGGCTGAGTAACAGCAGACTGCCTTCCTTATAGGTGCTCAGGCCAGGTTCATTATTGTTAAAGATATCAATGAAATTATTGGTGAAAGTGGCTTAATTTTGAAATCGACTCCACAAAAGGAAGTATTGGCACATAAAATAATAGTACGATTTTCGATACATTGTGGCTGGAACTCAACACTGGAAAGTGTTGCAGTTGCAATGATAGACAATTAAAATGTGTTATTTCATATCTAATAAATTTTTAATATTTTATAATCTTAAATTCATTCACTTATTGCTAATTGAATTTAAATTGAATATTTAATATAATATCAAAATTAATTGTATCACCAATCGTCTTCATAAATAGTATCAAAGCCAATATCACAAGTTCATATGTCCCTTCCTCAAGCAATTGTTTTTTGAAGGGTTTGTAACGTCTGAAGTCCTAACTTCTAAAGTCTTAAAAGTGAAAATTAGTATCAGAACCAAGATATAAGCCTTATAGGCCAAGAAAATTGCTAATATTCGTCTTCCTAATAATAATTACTTTTGGGAGAGTTGGTGTTATACGTATAGCAGATAGTTGGTAGTGCCTGAAGTCATAAAAGTAATATTAAAGCAAAGATTTTTTTTTGATATCCTTTCTAAATCTATCAAAGTCAAAATTTTTTTTGTTATCTTTTGAATGCCATGGTCACTTGTGTGTGCTTAATACACTATAAGATTAGGGTATGTCTCTTTTGGAAGCAATTGCTACGAGAGAGTTAATAGCACTTTAGATTTTAAAAGTGTAAAAAAAAATCAAAACCAAGATATAAGCCTATATAAGGCTAAGGTACATGCCCGGTAGCGTGTAAAAGTGGTATCAGGCCAAAATTTTTTCTATTGCTCTTTTTAAATTTGTTAGAGTCAAATTTTTTTTTGTTATCTTTTTCAAATCTATTATATGATATGTTTTTTTTATTACCCTTTTCAAATTTGTCACGTGACAAATTTTTTTAATTTCATCTACAACAATTGTTTTTAAGAGAGTTAATAACGTTTGAGGTCATAAAAATAGTATCAGAGTTAAGATTTTTTTTATTATTCTTTCTAAATTTGTCATGCCAAATTATGATTTTCTGTGTTGCCTTTATAAATTTTGTTAGAGTCAAGATTTTATTATGTTACTTTTTTCAAATCTATCACGTCAAATTTGTTATGTGATAGTTTTTTTTTATTGTTCTTTTTAAATCTGTTATTTAATAATTTTTTTTTTATTTTTGCCTATAGCAATTGTTCTTGGAAGAGTTGGCAATGTTTGAAGTCCTAAAAGTGGTATCAAAGTCAAAATTTTCTTTTTGTTATTTTTTATAAATTTGTTAGAGCCTAAGATTTTTTTTTGTTATCTTCTCTAAATCTATCATGTGACAATTTTTTTTATTTTTACCTAAATATGATAGAGATCAATTAAAATTATTATCTCATATATAATAAATTTTTAAAATTTTTATATTCAAATTAAATTTCTTCACTTATTATCAATTGATTTTAAATTAAATGTTTAATAATATCAACATGTTTTGGGATCAAAGGGTAAATCCAAGAAGTTTGTTTTCTTATATTTTTGTCCTAGGCTTTTGAGGATTAATCCAATGTGCTTTCCCTTTGCTTCAGATTGAAACTCGCCATTATTATAATCAGACAACAATTAATTACTGCAATGAAAACATGATTAAGAACAACTCCCAATTTCATTACTAGAATTCTGATTACATTCTTAAACATTTGAACCAGTAATTATATAATCTACTGACAATTTTCAGTTCCTTAAAAACATATTTCTAGGATATTTCATATTCTACTGACAACTTCCGACATTAACTGCGACCACCAATTCCTTAAAACATATTTATCGGATTTTTCATGTTTAAGACACTTAAAACTTCAATCAGACATATGAATGGTGAATGGTCTTGAAATTAGGCTTTTCCACTTCAACTTTAGGAACAGTGACGGTGAGATCCCCTTTTTCCATAGAAGCTTTAACTTGATCCATCTTCACCTTCTCCATGAAGCTAAACCTCCTCGAGAACTTGCCACTTCTCCGCTTCATGACAAGCCTCGTGTCATTCTTGTCCTTCTCAACATTCCCCTCCCCGCTGATATGAAGCACCCTGTTATCTTCAATCTCCACTTTCACTTCCTCCTTCGTCATGTCTAGATAGTAGATCGTGAACACATGGGCTTCCGGGGTCTCCTTCCAGTCAACACGAGCGTAGACAAAATCGGAGTTCTTTTGGGAGAGTGATGGGAAATTCTTGAAGGGATCCCATACATCTACAGAGAATGAATCAAAGTTATTGCCTTGTCGGTTGCTCCATACATCTGCAGAGAATGAATCAAAGTTATTGCCTCGTCGGTTGACGAAGAAAATTGGAATCAGAGACATTTTCTTTTCAATTTCTTGGAACTGCTTTGACGGCTGGTATTTTGAGAATTAAAACCTACTTGTAATTCTTGTTTGGTGAAGGTGGGATAGGGTTGCGTATTTAAAGGATTCGAAGGAAGATTCTAGTACTTTCCAGGGCAATCAATTTTGGGTCTCGATGGATGACGTTTCTATTTTGTAGTAAACTCAAGGGCCTTTCAAGCTTCTCTTGCTGAACCTGGATGCAAGGATTTTCTTTCTGATTAAGCCTTCAAATGGGCCGAGCCTTGTCCTTCATTGACTTCTACTGGTCTCTCTGTTGGGTATTTTTTTTCCTCTTTTTTATTGCAATTTCCAAGGTCAAAAAGTCTAATTTTTAGGTTTCTTTTAATTTAATGGTAAATCAATTGAATTGTGCTCATTCCGCATGCATTGATTTCTCAATTGCAATGTCAACACAACTTCATAGAAGCTAGCCAAGCTAAGCTATTGCAAGGGGGCTAAGAAAGTTGATTATGATCTTTCAAGCGGATTCGAGTGGACTTACTTCTCCTAAAAACTGTGACCAACACTGTCTTAGTTGATGGTAACTTGTCTAACGTACCAAACTACCAACACTTCTTCAAAATTAATAAAATTAAGATGGATAATCTGATTTATGATTATTGGAGACCACAATGGGATTCTTTTTTCTGGGGCCCCTTTTTAGCCTGTGGCTGGGTGACAGTGAGCACGCCGATGTCGATTGCGGTCTTCGTTTGTCCCGCATTAACACTTGTTGGTTAATGGCAGGGCAGCTCTTAATGTAATCTCTGATCTTTACCTTGACTTCTTCACTCCTCAAGCGGTGCACTGGCGCAATAAGCACCGGTGCTGCTTGTTGCCAGTACATCTACAAGTTGAGCAAAGCTGAAGGATCTATGCAATATTACCCCACTTAAAATGCAAGCAAAATAAGTCACAATATTTGGATAAAATAACTAACATTTGTACACTAACAGTCATCTGATGCACATAATCAGTTTCTCCCAGTTAAGAAATCAGATGATAAAGGTGAGAACAGTGTTCAATTAAAGCATAGCCTTTTTAATGTGTTAGAGACATGGTTTTCAACAGAACAGTGTCAGTGATGGGCCTAATGGTTATGAAATTGGAAATGGTATTGGGTGAATCTGTTTCCTCTCCACTTGCTAATTGAACCTCATGAAAAAAATCCCAAAGAACACCAGAACTTTTAAAAGCCAAATTTAGAAGCCATAGTTACAGTGTCCAAACCTGAACCGCATTTCCCCTGGTTAAAAGACAAAAACACTATCCAAGTATAGAGCAAAACCTACTCTTTGAAATTTTTGTCATTCGCGTGCTCTTTCTTTCTTAGTACAGATTCACGTGTTTCGGACATGGATGGTCTTAATGAAACGAGATATGATCTTTGGTTGTTAGAGGGTGAAAGTGAAGGTTTTTCCAATTGGAATAGCCATAGAGTCGCTATCAAATCATTATTGTATATACTCCCATAATGGTTTAGCAAAAAAAAAAAAAAAACAATTTGACCAATTCTCTGTCTCTAGTTTTTCACAGGTTTTGGACAATTTTACGATATTAATACGAAATGTTTAGCCAGCAGCAGCATACCCTTTCATGCCTTTGGGGTTTAAATAATCCCAAGTTACTCTTATTTGGCAAGCTAGCTGTATTCCAGTATGACTTTCATGAAGCTTAATTTCCGTGGAAAAACGTACTTTGAAGATCTTCTTGATTTCCCTTCTGCTACACAATTCCCATTTCTTCTCTGTTGGAGGCACAGAAAGGAAAGGGTCATACGCTAAAGGCCTTAGGCTGAAAATGTTGAATAGAAAATTACTACGTACTAATTATTTTGTGTTTGTTTGATGGGTTTCCACTCTGCAGGAAAATGAAATATCATGGTAGTAATATTCAGCCGTACAAACGGCGATGACCATTGTCTTTTCCACACTGTTTCTCCTCCTCAAAACAAACAGTTAAAAAAAGTTTTTACCTGGTGAAAAATCACCCTGCCTCGATTTTCCAACGCATGGACCACTGTGATTTTCTTTTCAAAGGTGGCCTGACATTTTTCACAGATTGACATGAACACGATCATCAGCAATCAGAAAATTCGGAATCACACTCAACAACAATCCCAACCAAAATCATCCAAGGATCGCTCTAATGTAGCTTTAAATATACCATTAATATAATATAATAAACAAAAAAGTTTCTTTTTTCCTTTGGCTTTGTTTAAAAACTTTAAAAAAATCTCACACTAATGATGAAATTTACACACTTTTCCTTAACAAAGTAACTTCAAGGTTTCCATCAAAGCTAGCAAGAAATTTTCCTTCTATTGTACAATCAAATTTTGATTTATTCCTCCTTCACTTCAAGCATCAAAGAATATAAAAGCCAAGTCAATCATCTCCACAACATAAAAACAAAGAAGATAGAATTATTGGTGACGTTAATATCCCAGAAATTCCAAATCTGCTGAAGCAATGGAAGATAAGGTCGCAGGTTTCTCAGTAGCTGGAATTTCCAAGCTTTTTTGTTTTTATTTGTTTGGATTATCAACTTTTAGGAGGTTTTCATATTCATAATAATTTAATGTTTGCTAATATATATTGTTAAATAATTGAGCTATCTGTCTAGTGGCCTGTAGTAAAGCAACCATCAGTCACCATAAATGTTGAGTCTGGTTTTGGCTCTCAACAAGAACTGTGCAGCACCGTTTAAGAAATGCTTGAAACAAATGTCGGACGAGAAGCATCCCCATGAATGTATTGCTGGTATCATTTATGATGCTCTCATGTACTTCGCTCAAACTGTTGCTGATGATCTTGGTTTTCCAGGAATTAGTATGCGTCCCACTGCTGCAGCAATGTTACTCTTTGCTGTCATTCCTCACCCTGATCAAGGTACTGCTTTTCACCTTATATTAGTTCTAGCAACAAAAGTTTCCATGATGTTGAAATATGAAATATGAAATATGAACAAATAAAAGACAGAAACTTTAAAGCTTCAAGTAATCTGCTGTCATATAGATTCCGTACGTAATTTATTGAAAAATTGGATGAAAAACTATGAAACTGTATTTGTTGGACATTAGGCTCTTACACTGTATATTCAGTCAACTAATTTTTCTTAGTGACTTGGCGCTAATTACAGCTTTAAACCATTTCAATTATGTTACAGAATCTGTCTTTGAAAACCAAATACCGGAGCTTCAACCCCTCCAGCTTAAGAAAATGGTTACATCTATGTCACAAAATCCAACAGACGCCATGTCAGAGGTGAGAGCTGCAGCATTAAATGCAACGAAGAGATCATCGGCTATGATCGAGAACACAATGGAATTCCTTGAACACGCAGCACTGTCAAAGATCAAAGAATACTCGGCTGCTCCAGTTTTCACCATTGGCCCCTTTCACAAACTAGCTCCATCCATTTCCAGCTCATTACTGAAGGAAGATGCTCACTGTATTTCTTGGCTTGACAAACAAGCCCCGAAATCTGTTATCTATGTCAGCTTTGGAAGCATGGCCAGCTTGAGTGAGCAAAACATTGTTGAGATAGCTTGGGGGTTGGCCAACAGTGAGCAGCCATTTTTGTGGGTGATTAGGCCTGGTTTGGTACCTGGCTCAGAAGGGACCGAGTTATTGCCAAAAGGTTTTCAAGAGAAAGTTGGAGAAAGAGGTTGCATTGTTAAATGGACACCTCAAAAGGAGGTGTTAGCGCATGTTGCAGTGGGTGGATTTTGGACTCACTGTGGATGGAATTCTACACTTGAGAGTGTCTCCGAAGGGGTTCCAATGTTATGCAGGCCTTATTTTGGGGACCAAGTTCTGAACATGAGGTACATCTGTTATGTGTGGAAAATAGGCCTGGAATTGGAGAATGAGTTGGAGAGAGGGAAGATAGAAGGAGCTATAAAAAAGCTAATGGTGGATGCAGAAGGAGAGGAGATTAGAAATAAAGCTATGGAATTGAAAGAGAAAACGGAAGATTGTCTGAAAGAGGAGGGCTCTTCATGCAGGTCCTTGAATGAGTTAACAAAGCTAGTTGATTGCATAATGATCATCTGATGGAGATATTCCACAATCAATTACATTCCCTTGATATGAAGGCTAGTATTCTTTGGCCAAAAAGAAACAGAAAGTATTTAGTGGAATGTTCTTAAGTTTAAGATATAATCAACTTTTACTTTGAAAGTGGGGATGTTCTTTTATTAAAACACATGAAAAATTAAAATCAGATTCATCAGTATGATTAAACCCATGAAACTAAGATCATTGTACTTGCTAGTTTATGGTAGTATGGCACCTGTATTTGAAGGGTTGAAAAGGAGATATTGTCAGTTTGAATAGACAATTATACATTAGTAGAGAACACCTTATAATAATATTACAAACTAAGGCGTAGTTACAGAAATCAAATTTCTTTGTTCTTAACATACAACTCGAGAACATAAGAAAAACTCTCAAATTCATTAAAAAAAAAACAAACAAATGCTTCAAAGCTTTTAACCAGAAAATCTTAACGGCTTTGACTCAGGTATCTTTTCTTCCTCCTTAGGAACAGTAACGGTAAGAACCCCATTTTCCATGGTAGCTTTCACCTGATCCATCTTTACATTCTCAGGCAACCTGAACCTCCTCGTGAACTGCCCACCGCTACGTTCAACCCTGTGCCTGGTGTCGTTCTTGTCTTCCTTCTCAACGTTCCTCTCTCCGCCTTGTTTGAAGCACCCTGTCATCTTCAATCTCGACTTTCACTTACTCTTTCTTAAGACCTGGAAGGTCAGCCTTGAAGACGTGAACTTCTGGGGTTTCTTTCCAGTCGATCCGAGTGTTGACAAAAGCAGATGTTTTAGGGGATTGTATGGTGAGTGAAGAAGAAGAGCAAGGGAAGTCCTTGAAAGGATCCCATACGTCAAAAGAGAAAGAATCGAAGTTGCTGCTCCTTGGATTGCCAAGATAACTTGGGATCATCACCATTTTCTTGCTTTCTTATGAAATTAAGGATTGATGAATAAATAAATAAAATCGCAAGCCTTTAGTTGCCAATAAGTTCTCTCAAGCTCTGTTTAGCTGTCTTGAAGCCATTTAAAGTAGAACATGTTGGGTATAAAAAAGAAGCCGAAGAACAATCTAATACTATTCTGATACTTGTGTTTGGGCCACAAGAGGACTTTGACTTCTTCCGCAGCTCGTGAATGTTTGAGAACTTGCTTGAATGGTCTGAACTCTTTTGCAATCAAATCGACTTCAATGTTGAGATGGGCTTTTCTTCGTCTTCTACGATCCATTAGGCTTCATTTGTCCGGATCATTCAAGTTAATTCTCTAACATTCGTGAATCCACCGGTTTTCAAACCCAATAGAAAAGTTCCAGAACGTACTAGCTTCCTCTTCAGCTTATTTTAAATACTCGACATGCCCTACCTTGTTAGCACAAGAAAACAGAATCTTATTCTCGGAAACAATCAGTAATCCAACACTTACAGTCTCACTGACACTGTTTTGTCGTTGATCCTTGTTCTATAGTGTAAGAGAAATGGCGATGATCCCCAGTTTCTTTGGAAATCGATGGAGCAGCGTCTTCGATCCTTTCTCTCTCGATATTTGGGATCCCTTCAAGGACTTCCCTTTCCCTTCCTCACTCACCACGAATACATCTGAAACCTCAGCTTTTGCCAATACCCGTATCGACTGGAAGGAAACCCCTGAAGCTCATGTGTTCAAGGCTGATCTTCCAGGGCTCAAGAAAGAAGAAGTGAAAGTTGAGATTGAAGATGACCGGGTGCTTCAAATAAGCGGAGAAAGGAAAATAGAAAAGGAAGACAGGAACGACACCTGGCACCGCGTGGAGCGGAGTAGTGGCAAATTCTCGCGGAGTTTTAGGTTGCCGGAGAATGTGAAGATGGATCAAGTTAAGGCTTCCATGGAAAATGGGGTTCTTACTGTTACTGTTCCCAAGGTGGAAGTGAAGAAACCTGATGTCAAAGCTATTGAGATTTCTGGTTAGAAGACCGAAGGGCTTGAAGGGTACTGTTATTATAACTTACTTTTGTGTGTCTGCTTGTCTTCAAGTTTGAAATGCCTTCAACAAGAATAAACATGGTGGGATTGATGTTATAGTTAAGTTATGGTTTGTGATATTATAATATTACAGAGTTTTTATCAATAATGTAAAATTGTTCCTTCCTTTTATTCACTCTGCTCTTTTTGAATTCAGCTGCTCTATTCAAATCATCTATTTTAACCATTTCAAATTCATTTTAGTAATGGAGATACATTCAAGATTAAAGAGTGCTTCTATTTTCAGTAGATTTTTTTGCTTTCCATTAGTGGTTCCCTGTTAAAATGATGGAAAAAACTTGAAAAACTTTCATATGTAGCAGTAAGTTATGAAAAAAAAAAAAACCAAAAACTTCATCAAAAAATGTTTAATGCTAATTGTTTTATGACTTTATTTCTTATTTGTGCTTAGAAGTCCAGTTTGCTTGTTGACTTCAAAAGCAGTGAAATACTCCCTAAATTCCTTCAACAATAATATTTTAGTTATTTTAACTTAAGACTGTTCTTAAATTCTAACAAGTTTTCAATAAACGACCAGTGCTTGTTCCATGCCTGGATCCGTTGTATCAGCTATGCACACCATTGACTCCTCAAATTACCATTGCCACACTACAAATTCAACTCCCCTGTCCAACCCTTGACTTCTCGTTCTACCAATATCAAACGACCTATTTGATGTAGACAACTCCGTGAGTTTCTTTTAAAACATCATTATGGATTTCATAGCTGTCATATCACATGTATAATATCATCTTCAAGCCCCCAGCTTGCAGGGGACACAAAATTAATTCAATGCTTCAACTCGGCACCTTACTTCATGCCAATGGCTTCTCCATTACAGTTGTACAAACTAAATTCAACTTTCCTAATCCAGCCAATCACCCTTATTTTACATTTCTATCAATACCAGATGCCCTGTTTGATCGAAACGCCTCCACCATGGGTATAAAAGAAGTCATATCATGTCTTAACACGATGAATGTTCATTATCATTAAGTTAAAATCTTCACTGTTGATACATACGCCGTGTCGTTGGCCCTTGGTGCCTGGACTTTATCCCCTCAGATTTAGGGATTTGCCCATAGCCAATTTCAAAAATATAAATACCTTACTATAAGTAACAGCAAGAACAAGTGACATAAGATCATCTTCAGCAGTCATTTGCAAGACTATAGACTGCCTTCAACGGTCATTATTGGCATACTTACAACAGCAGTGCAAAGTTCCTGTCTTTCCTATAGGCCCTCTCCATTCTATTGTTCCAATTGCCTCTAAAAGTTCACTAAAAGAGGATAGAAACTGCATAGAATGGCTTGACTAACAGACTTATAACTCAGTTTTATATGTGAGCCTAGGAAGCTTAACTTCCATGAATCAGACCGAGTTAAGGAAAAGGGCTAAAGGGCTGAGTAACAGTAGACTGCGTTTCTTATGGGTGCTCAAGCCAGGTTCATTATTGCCTAAAGATTTCAATGAAATTATTGGAGAAAGTGGCTTAATTTTGAAATGGGCACCTCAAAAGGAAGTATTGGCACATAAGGTAAGAGCCTTTGCGGCTGGAACTCAACCCTGGAAAGTGCCGTAGTTGCAATGAGATGTCAACCATGCTTCGGCCTTTCGGGAATCAAAGAGTGAATGCGAGTTCTTCAATTTCATATATTATTGCCCTGGGCTTTTGAACATTAATTCAATGGGCTTTCCCTTTCCTTCAGGTTGAGACTTACCATTATTATCATCAGAAAACGATTCATTACTGCAATATAATTAAGAACAACTCACAATTTCATTACTAGAATTCTGATTACATGCTTACATCATTTGAACCAACATAATCTACTGACAACTTCCAACATTAACAGCGACCACCAATTCCTTAAAAACATATTTCTAGGATTTTTCACGTTTCAGTCACTTCAAACTTCAACCAGAAATCTGAATAGTCTTGATATCAGGCTTCTTCACTTCAACCTTAGGAACAGTAACAGTGAGAACCCCATTTTCCATAGAAGCTTTAACTTGATCCATCTTCACGTCCTCGGGCAACCTAAACCTCCTCGAGAACTTGCCACTGCTGCGCTCCACGTGATGCCACGTGTCATTGGTGTCTTCCTTCTCAGCATTCCTCTCCCCGCTGATTTGAAGCACCCTGTCCGCTTCAATCTCCACTTTCACTTCCTCTTTCTTCAGCCCTGGAAGGTCGGCCCTGAACACATGGGCTTCCGGGGTCTCCTTCCAGTCAACACGAGCGTTGACAAAAGCAGAGTTCTCTTGGGAGAGTGATGGGAAATTGTTGAATGGATCCCATACATCGACAGAGAACGGATCAAAGTTATTGCCTCGTCGGTTGCAGAAGAAACTAGGAATCAAAGACTTTTTTTTTTCAATTTCTTGGAACTGCTTTGACAGTTGGTATGTTGAGAATTAAAACCTACTCGTATTTCTTGATTGGGGTAGGAGGGGTGGGTATTTAAACGATTCGAAGGAAGATTCTTGTACTTTCCAGGGCAATCAATTTTGGGTCCCGGTGAACGACGTTTCAACTTTCTAGTAAATTCAAGGGCCTTCCAGGCTTCTCTTGCGAATCTGGATGTAAGAATTTTCTTTCTGATTAAGCCTTCAAGTGGGCCGAGCCTTGCCCTTCATTGACTTGGACGGGTCTCTTTGTTGGGTATTTTTTCCTCTTTTTTATTGCAATTTCGAAGGTCAAAAAGTCTAATTTTTAGGTTTCTTTTAATTTAATGGTAAACTAATTGAATTGTGCTCATTCAACATGCATTGATTTCTCAGATGCAATGTCAACACACCTTCAGAGAAGCTAGCCAAGCTAAGCTATGGCATGGGAGCTAAGAAAGTTGATTCTGATCTTTCAAGCGTACTCAAGTGGACTTACTTCCTCTAAAACGGTGACCAACAGTCTTAATTGATGGTAACTTGTCTAATGTACCAAACTACCTACACTTCTTCAAAATTGATAAAATTGCGATGGACTGTCTGATTTATGTTTGTTGGAGACCGCAATGGGAACCTTTTTTCTGTGGCCATTTTTTAGCCTGTGGCTGGGTGACAGTGAGCAAACTGTTTGTCTATTGCGGTCTTTGTTTGTCCCACATTAATATTTTCCGGCAAATGGCTTGGCAGCTCTCAATGTAACGTACATAGTATAGTTGTTAATTTTATTTTGGTATTAATTACATTAATTGATATATTTTAATTATATTAAAATATATATATTTAAAGATTATTTTTTATATCAAATTTAATATTGAATAATATCAATTGTTACCATTAATTTCAGCTTGTTTAGATAAATTTTGATAAAATAATATATTTTTATCAGTATATAAGTGTGAAATATATTTTATAACTTTAAATTTATTTTTTGTTATTTAATTATTTTTAATTTAATAAAAATAAAATTAATTTACAAAATAAACCTCTCATTGGTTAATTTCTGTGCAGATCCTTCCACCTCCAATTTCAAGGTCAGATTTTGATAAGGTGCTTGCTAGGCAGAGGCCAATAGTGAGCAAAGCTGATCTTGAGGTCCATAAAAGATTTACAAATGAGTTTGGAGAGGAAGGTCGATGGATTCGATGAAATTGTCGCATTGACCTATTCTACTTGTGAGTGCAATCTCTGTTATTTGTATTTTATTAATAACTGCAGGATCATCCAAGAATGTCTCTATTTATATTAAAAATATTTATTTAAATATTATATGATTAGATTAAATATTTAAAAATATTATAAAAAATTTATGATATTATTTTTTATATCTTTAAATTTATTTATTTAATTTTTAAATATTTTGTATATTTATTTTATAAATTATTAATAATATTATAATACACAAGTTCATATATATTTATAAATATATTTATATTAAATTAAAAAATTTAAAATAATATATTGAAATAATTGATATCATTATATATCATATTTCTTTAAAAAATCAAAACATTATCCCATATGATATTTAACAATTTTAGTCCATAGTTTCAACCTTCACTGATTATCAGGAAAATCCTTCTGTCTCTGATCTCTACCTTTCTTCTTCACTCCTCAGCTCGTGCACTGGCACAATAGGCACTAGAACTATTTCTTGCCAGTATATCTGGAAGTCGAGCAAAGCTGAAGGATCTATAAAATATTACCCTACTTAAAATGTAAGCAAAATAAGTCGCAATAGTTGGATAAAATAACTAACATTTGTACACTAACAGTCATCTCATGCACATGATCAGTTTCTCCAAGTTAAGAAATCAGAAGAAAAAGATGAGAGCAGTGTTCAATTAAAGCACAGCCATTTTAATGTGTCAGAGGCAGGGCTTTTAATTAAATAGTGTTAGTGATGGGCCTAATGGTTACAAAACTGGAAAATGGTGTTGGGTAAATCTGTTTCCTCTCCACTTGCTAATTTAAACCTCATGAAAAACCCAAAGAACACCAGAACTTTTAAAAGCCAAATTTAGAAGCCATGTAGTTACACGGTCCAAACCTGAGCCGTTTTCCCCCTAGATAAAAGACAAAAACACTATCCAAGTACATAGCAAAACCAACTCTTTGAAAATTGTCATTCACGTGCTCTTTCTTAAGTTACTACACGTGTTTCAGATATGGATGGTCTTAATGAACAGAGCTATGAGCTTTGATTGTTAAAGGGTGAAAGTGACAGGTTTTTCCAATTGGAATGGCCATAAAGAGTCGCTATCAAATCATTATTGTATATATTCCCATACTAGTTTAGCAAAAAAAATAACAATTTGACATATTCTCTGTCTTTAGTTTTAACAGGTTTTGGACAATTTAGCGAAGAACAGCATACTTTTTCATGTCTTTGGGGGGGAGAGAATCCCAAGTTTCTCTTATTTGGCAAGCTAGCTATATTCCGGTATGACTCACTGTGGATGAAATTCTACGCTTGGGAGTTATTGCCAAAAGGTTTCCAAGAGAAAGTTGGAGAAAGAGGTTGCATTCTTAAATGGGCACCTCAAAGGGAGGTGTTAGCATATGATGCAGTGGGTGGATTTTGGACTCACTGTGGATGAAATCTACACTTGAGAGTGTCTCCGAAGGGGTACCAATGTTATGCAGGCCCTGTTTTGGGGACCAAGTTCTTAACATGAGGTGCATCTGTTATGTGTGGAAAACAGGCTTGTAATGGGAGAATCATTAGTTGGAGAGAGGGAAGATAGAAGGAGCTATAAAAAATCTAATGGTGGATGTTGAAGGAGATGAGATTAGAAATAAAGCTATGGATTTGAAAGAGAAAACGGAAGATTGTCTAAGAGAAGAGGGCTCTTCATTCAGGTAATTGAATGAGTTCACACAGCTAGTTTGATTGCATGATGATCTGATGCAGATATACCACAAATCAATTACATTCCCTTGAAATGAAGGCCAGTATGCTTTGGCCAAAAAGAAAAAGAAATTATAGTAGTATTTAGTATAATGCAGGTTTCAAAAAACGATTGTATAATAGAATAGTGATCGCGAAATTGAGGTAGCATCATTGTCCGTCATCGCTATTGAGAAAAATACGATTGAAAAATTAAATCACACTCAAAACGATATGTAACAGCCGCTAAAAAATAATGTAACGAAACATAACGACAATAACGGATCGTTATTGTCACTATTTTTATTTTTTTAATTATTGGTTCAAATTAAACAGAAAAAAACTTCAATCAACAATAATTTTAATTCAATCTTCAAGTTACTCAAATTCAAATTAGTCTTAAGTCTTGAATCAACAATCAAAATTAAAGAAGATAAGAAAAAGTTAAATTACCTTTTTTTTTGCAAAATTTTTGTAAAATAATATTGATTTTTATGATAATATGAGAGAGATGATATTGAGATACTCGGTGGGCAATGACATTGATGAGGGTACGCGAGAGAGTGAGACAGATGCAGAGAGAAAAAGGGAGAGAAAAAGAAAACATGAAGAAGAGATGAACGAGGGTTTCTGGCTTGCCTTTTTGGTTATCAAAGTTTGGGGGAAATTTTGGGCGAGAGGGGTGTCTGAGGGGATGCGTGGGGTGGGTGGATGCGTGAGTTTTTATTTATTTAATTTTATTAAAACATAAGTTTAAAAATTTTTAATTTTTGAAAAAAAAAAATATATATATATATATATATAGATTTTAAATGAAAACTTTTTATAAATTTTTTTGTATAAGTTAGAAAAAATAATTAAAATTAAATATTATAATTTGATTTTATTATTTATTAATTTATGATTTTATATTTGAAATTTAACAATTTTTTTATTATTTGGTATTTATATTGTTATCAATTCTTTTGTTATTAGATTAATTCTTGTTAATTTATAACTATAATTGATGAAATTTGAAATTATTATATTTTTAAGTTTGTAATTTTATTAAATATGAATGCTTGATATTTAACGTATTATGTTTAGTTAATATTTTGATTTGTTTAGAATTAATTTTGAATATAAACTTGGCTCAAGTAAAAATTTTGTTGCTAAATCAAATATAAATGTTTTATTATAATCTAATAAAATTGTGAATTTAAAAAATAAAAAACATAGATGTTATAAACTGTGTTAAAATAAATAAATAAAAAATTTTATAATTATAATTATAATTATTATATTTTATAATAAATTGTGCAAAATTAAAAAAAATTTACGATGACTGCAATGATCTCCGTTATGTCCAAAAATACGATAAATACGACGCGATCAAAAACGTAATTACGATCATTAATTTATAACGTGCTTAAGTTTAAAATTCAATCAGCACTTACTTTAAAAGTATTGGAACATTCTTTTATTAAAACACATGAAACTAAAATCAGATATCATCAGTTTGATTAAGCCCAATGAAACTAAGATCATTATACTTTCAGTTTATGGTAGTATGGCATTTGTACCATTTTACATTAGTAGAGAACACCTTACAATAATATAACAAACTAAATTCACAAAAAAAATAAATAAATTACAACATAAGGCGTAATTATAGAAATCAAATTTCATTTTTCTTAACATACAACTCGAAACATAAGAGAAACTCTCAAATTCATTAAAAAAAAATGCTACAAAGCTTCTAACCAGAAATCTCAACGGCTTTGACATCAGGTTTCTTTTCTTCCTCCTTAGGAACAGTAACGGTAAGAACCCCATTTTCCAATGAAGCTTTCACCTGATCTATCTTCGACTTCACATTCTCAGGTAACCTGAACCTCCTCATGAACTTCCCACTGCTACGTTCAAGCCGGTGTCAGGTGTTGTTCTTGTCTTCCTTCTCAACGTTCCTCTCTCCGCTTATTTGAAGTACCCTGTCATCTTCAATCTCGACTTTCACTTCCTCTTTCTTAATACCTGGAAGGTCAGCCTTGAAGACGTGAGCTTCTGGGGTTTCTTTCCAGTCGATCCGAGTGTTGACAAAAGCAGATGTTTCAGGGGCATGTGTGGTGAGCGAAGAAGAAGAGAAAGGGAAGTCCTTGAAAGGATCCCATGCGTCAAAAGAGAAAGGATCGCAGATGCTGCTTCTTCGGTTGCCAAAAAAAACTTGGGATCATCGCCATTTTCTTGCTCTTTTATGAAATTAAGGATTATGAAGAACTGAATAAAATCGCAAGCCTTTAGTTGCAAACAAGTTCTCGCAAACTCTGTCAAGCTGTCTTGATGCCCTTTAAAGTAGAACATGTTTGGTATATGGAAGAAGCTTAAGAACAATCAAGTACTTTCTCATACTTGTGTTTTGGGCCTCAATAGAACTTTGACTTCTTCCGCAAGTCACGAATGTTTGAGAACTTGCTTGAATGGTCTGGACTCTTTTGCAAGTAAATAGACTTCAATGTTGAAATGGGCTTGTACTTAGTTTTCTCCATCGAACAGCACTAGAAAGAAGTCCAGATCATTCAAGTTAATTCTCTAACGTTCGCGAATCACAGCCCAAAAGAAAAGTTCGAGAGCACAATACATTCCTCTTCAGCTTGCTATATATACCCGACATGTGTAGCCTTAGTAGCGTCAGGAAGACAGAATCAGATTCTCGGAAACAATCAGCAATCAAACACTTAAATTCTCACTACGGTTTTGTTGATCTTTGTTTCGCAGTGTAAGAGAAATGGCAATGATTCCCAGTTTCTTTGGCAACCGAAGGAGCAGCGTCTTCGATCCGTTCTCTCTTGATGTTTGGGATCCTTTCAAGGACTTCCCTTTCACTTCCTCACTCACCACGAATACATCTGAAACCTCAGCTTTTGCCAATACCCGAATCGACTGGAAGGAAACCCCTAAAGCTCACGTGTTCAAGGCTGATCTTCCAGGGCTCAAGAAAGAAGAAGTGAAAGTTGAGATTGAAGATGACAGGGTGCTTCAAATCAGAGGAGAAAGGAAAATAGAAAAGGAAGACAAGAACGACACCTGGCACCGCGTGGAGCGGAGTAGTGGCAAGTTCTCAAGGAGGTTTAGGTTGCCGGAGAATGTGAGGATGGATCAAGTTAAGGCTTCCATGGAAAATGGGGTTCTTACTGTTACTGTTCCCAAGGTGGAAGTGAAGAAACCTGATGTCAAAGCCATTGTGATTTCTGATTAAAAACCTGAAGGGCTTCAAGGGTTTTGTTGTTATTACATACTTTGTCTGTCTGCTTGTATTTTCAAGTTTGAGAGGCCTTTAAAAAGAATAAACATGGTGGGATTGATGTTATAGTTAAATTTTGGTTTGTAATATTATAATATTACAGAGTTTTTATCAATAATGTAAAATTGCTGGTATTAGTGTAACTGTTCCTTCGTTTTATTCACTTTGCCCTTGCTAGATTCAGTTGCTCTATTTAAATAATGTATTTTAACCATTAAAAAATCATTTTAATAGGACATGTTGGGTATATGGAAGAACCTGAAGAACAATCAAGTACTTTCTCATACTTGTGTTTTGGGCCTCAAGAGAACTTTGACTTCTTCCTCAACTCATGAATGTTTGAGAACTTGCTTGAATGGTCTGGACTTTTTTGCAATTAAATTGACTTCAATCTTGAAATGGGCTGCACTTAGTTTTCTCCGTTCGGCCTCATTTCAACAGCACTAGAAAGTAGTCCAGATCATCAAGTTAATTCACTAACATTCGGGAACCACCAGTTTTCATGCTCAAAGGAAAAGTTCGAGAGCATACTACATTCCCCTTCGGCTTGTTTAAATACGCAACATGTCCAGCCTTAGTAACATAAGAAAAGACAGAATTAGATTCGTGGAAATAATCAGCAATCAAACACTTAAATTCTCGCTAACGCAGCTTTGTTGACCATTGTTTCACAGTTTTAGAGAAATGGCGATGATTCCCAGTTTCTTTGGCAATCGAAGGAGCAGCGTCTTTGATCCATTCTCTCTTGATGTTTGGGATCCTTTCAAGGACTTCCCTTTCCCGTCTTCACTCACAACGAATACATCTGAAACCTCAGCTTTTGCCAATACCCGAATCGACTGGAAGGAAACCAGTGACGCTCACGTCTTCAAGGCTGATCTTCCAGGGCTCAAGAAAGAAGAGGTGAAAGTTGAGATTGAAGATGACATGGTGCTTCAAATCAGCGGAGAAAGGAAAATAGAAAAGGAAGACAAGAACGACAACTGGCACCGCGTGGAGCGGAGCAGTGGCAAGTTCTCAAGGAGGTTTAGTTTACCGGAGAATGTGAAGATGGAGCAAGTTAAGGCTTCCATGGAAAATGGGGTTCTTACTGTTACTGTTCCCAAGGTGAGAGTGAAGAAACCTGATGTCAAAACCATTGAGATTTCTGATTAAAAACCTGAAGGGCTTAAAGGTTTTGTTGTTATTACATACTTTGTCTGTCTGCTTGTATTTTCAAGTTTGAGAGGTCTTTAAAATGAATAAACATGATGGGATTGATGTTATAGTTAAATTTTGTTTTGTAATATTATAATATTACAGAGTTTTTATCAATAATGTAAAATTGCTGGTATTAATGTAACTGTTCCTTCGTTTTATTCACTTTGCTCTTTCTGGATTCAGCTGCTCTGTCGAAATCATCTATTTTAACCATTTCAAATTCATTTTAGTGAGACATTCAAGATTAGAGAATGCTTCTATTTTCTATGATGCAATCTTGGCATATATGTTGCAAGGACGACGCTACTGTTGGCCTTAGTTTATCAATTGGCTGTAATTTTTTTGCTTTCCACAATTGGTTCTCTGTCAAAATGATGGAAAAACTTTCATATGTCATAGGAAGTTATGAAGAAAAAAAAAAAAAAAACAGAAACTTCGTCAAAAAGTGTTTAATACTAACTGTTTTATGCTTTGATTTCTTATCTGTGCTTAGAAGTCCAGATTTGCTTATTGACTTCAAAAGCAGTGAAATACTCCCTAAATTCCTTCAACAATAATATTTTATACAGGCACTTAAGACTGTTCTTAAATTCCAAACAAGTTTTCAAAAAGATCAAAAGACAAGCGACCGGTGCTGGTTCCGTGCCCTGGATCCGGTGTATCAGCTATGACACCGCTCAGCTAACATTGCACGCTGCAAATTCAAGTCCCATGTCACACTCTTGACTTCTCGTTCTGCCTATATCAAACGACCTATTTGATGTAGACAACTCTATGTATTTCCTTTTTCTTTTTTTTGGATAAGCTAAATACCGTTATGGACTTCATAACTGTCGTAACACATTTATAATATCATCATCAAAGCTTGCAGGGACACATAAATCCAATTTCAGGGACTGCGTTGAATGGTGTTGGTTCCATGTCGAGTTCAAGGACGCATGAAATTAATCCACTGCTTCAGCTCGGTACCCTTCTTCGTGCCAATGGCTTCTCAATTACATTTGCACACACTAAATTCAACTCTCCTAAACCAGCTAATCACCCTGATTTTACATTTCCATCAATATCAGATACCGGTTTGATCGAAACGCCTCCTCCATGGATATAACTGATGTCATATCATGTCTTAACACGAGCCGCAAAGCCCCACTCTAGAATTCACTAACCCAGAGTATTGAAAGGGAGGAGGAAGATCATACTAGTAAGCTCCCATGTATTGATTATGATGGATCCATGTCTTTACAGAAGCTGTGGCACATGAACGGGAGCTCCAAAGCAACATGCTGGGAACCACTAGTGCTGCCACTCCCACTCCGCTCACATACTATTCATTTCCACTACTCCAGAAAGAAGGTTATATTCCATTGCAAGGTATATTTTCTTAACATTTGTGTTGCTCTTCAATAATAGAGATATAGTTGATACGTTAAAATCTTCATTGTCTATACTCGATACAGACGCCATGTTATTGGCCTTGGTGCCTGGAGTACATCCCCTCAGGTTCAAGGATCTGCCCATAGCCAATTTCGATCATCTTCAGCAGTCATTTGCAATTCTATAGCCTGCCTTAAACGGTCATTATTGGCACAGTTACAACGGCAGTGCAAAGTTCCTGTCTTTCCTATAAGCCCTCTCCATTTCTATTTTTCCAATTGCCAATAGCATTTTACTAAAAGAGGATAGAAGCTGTATAGAATGGCTCGACGAGCAGACTCATAACTCATTTTTAGGAAGCACAGCTTCCATGAATCAGAACGAGATAAGGGAAAGAGCTAAAGGGCTGAGTAACAGCAGACTGCCTTCCTTATAGGTGCTCAGGCCAGGTTCATTATTGCTAAAGATATCAATGAAATTATTGGTGAAAGTGGCTTAATTTTGAAATGGACTCCACAAAAGGAAGTATTGGCACATAAAATAATAGTACGATTTTCGATACATTGTGGCTGGAACTCAACACTGGAAAGTGTTGCAGTTGCAATGATAGTCAATTAAAATGTGTTATTTCATATTTAATAAATTTTTAATATTTTATAATCTTAGATTCATTCACTTACTGCTAATTGAATTTAAATTGGATATTTAATATAATATTAAAGTTAATTGCATCACCAATCGTCTTTATAAATAGTATCAAAGCCAATATCACAAGTTCATATGTCCCTTCCTCAAGCAATTGCTTTTGGAAGGGTTTGTAGCGTCTGAAATCCTAACTTTTAAGGTCTTAAAAGTGAAAATTAATATCAGAACCAAGATATAAGCCTTATAGGCCAAGAAAATTGCTAATATTCGTCTTCCTAATAATAATTACTTTTGTGAGAGTTGGTGTTATACGTACAGCAGATAATTGGTAGTGCCTAAAATCCTAAAAGTAATATTAAAACAAAGATTTTTTTTTGATATCCTTTCTAGATCTATCAGAGTCAAATTTTTTTTTGTTATCTTTTGAATGCCATGGTCACTTGTGTGTGCTTAATACACTATAAGATTAGGGTATGACTCTTTTGGAAGCAATTGCTATGAAATAGTTAATAGCACTTGAGATTTTAAAAGTGTAAAAAAAAAATCAAAACCAAGATATAAGCCTATATAAGGCTAAGGTACATGTCTTGGTAGCGTGTAAAAGTGGTATCAGGCCAAAATTTTTTCTATTGCTCTTTTTAAATTTGTTAGAGTCAGATTTGTTTTTTATTATCTTTTTCAAATCTATTATGTGACAGATTTTTTTTAATTTCATCTACAATAATTATTTTTAAGAGAGTTGGTAACGTTTGAGGTCATAAAAATAGTATCAAAGTTAAGATTTTTTTTCTATTATTCTTTTTAAATTTGTCATGCCAAATTATGATTTTCTGCGTTGCCTTTATAAATTTTGTTAGAGTCAAGATTTTATTCTGTTACTTTTTTCAAATCTATCACGTCAAATTTGTTATGTGATAGTCTTTTTCTATTGCTCTTTTTAAATCTGTTATTTAATAATTTTTTTTTATTTACCTATAGCAATTGTTTTTGGAAGAGTTGGCCATGTTTGAAGTCCTAAAAGTGGTATCAAAGTCAAAAGTTTTTTTTTGTTATTTTTTATAAATTTGTTAGAGCCTAAGATTTTTTTTTGTTATCTTCTCTAAATTTATCACGTGACAATTTTTTTATTTTCACCTAAATATGATGGAGACCAATTAAAATTATTATCTTATATATAATAAATTTTTAAAATTTTTATATTTAAATTAAATTTTTTCACTTATTATCAATTGATTTTAAGTTAAATGTTTAATAATACCAACATGTTTTGGGATCAAAGGGTAAATCCAAGAAGTTTGTTTTCTTATATTTTTGTCCTAGACTTTTGAGGATTAATCCAATGTGCTTTCCCTTTGCTTCAGATTCAAACTCGCCATTATTATAATCAGACAACAATTAATTACTGCAATAAAAACATGATTAAGAACAACTCCCAATTTCATTACTAGAATTCTGATTACATTCTTAAACATTTGAACCAGTAATTATATAATCTACTGACAATTTTCAATTCCTTAAAAACATATTTCTAGGATATTTCATATTCTACTGAACTTCCGACATTAACTGCGACCACCAATTCCTTAAAACATATTTATCGGATTTTTCATGTTTAAGACACTTAAAACTTCAATCAGACATATGAATGGTGAATGGTCTTGAAATTAGGCTTTTCCACTTCAACTTTAGGAACAGTGACGGTGAGATCCCCTTTTTCCATAGAAGCTTTAACTTGATCCATCTTCACCTTCTCCATGAAGCTAAACCTCCTCGAGAACTTGCCACTTCTCCGCTTCATGACAAGCCTCGTGTCATTCTTGTCCTTCTCAACATTCCTCTCCCCGCTGATATGAAGCACCCTGTTATCTTCAATCTCCACTTTCACTTCCTCCTTCGTCATGTCTAGATAGTAGATCGTGAACACATGGGCTTCCGGGGTCTCCTTCCAGTCAACACGAGCGTAGACAAAATCGGAGTTCTTTTGGGAGAGTGATGGGAAATCCTTGAAGGGATCCCATACATCTACAGAGAATGAATCAAAGTTATTGCCTTGTCGGTTGCTCCATACATCTGCAGAGAATGAATCAAAGTTATTGCCATTGCCTTGTCGGTTGCTCCATACATCTGCAGAGAATGAATCAGAGTTATTGCCTTGTCGGTTGACGAAGAAAATTGGAATCAGAGACATTTTCTTTTCAATTTCTTGGAACTGCTTTGACGGCTGGTATTTTGAGAATTAAACCTACTTCTTGTATTTCTTGTTTGGTGAAGGTGGGATAGGGTTGCGTATTTAAAGGATTCGAAGGAAGATTCTAGTACTTTCCGGGGCAATCAATTTTGGGTCTCGATGGATGACGTTTCTATTTTGTAGTAAACTCAAGGGCCTTTCAAGCTTCTCTTGCTGAACCTGGATGCAAGGATTTTCTTTTGATTAAGCCTTCAAATGGGCCGAGCCTTGTCCTTCATTGACTTCTACTGGTCTCTCTGTTGGGTATTTTTTTTCCTCTTTTTTATTGCAATTTCCAAGGTCAAAAAGTCTAATTTTTAGGTTTCTTTTAATTTAATGGTAAATCAATTGAATTGTGCTCATTCCACATGCATTGATTTCTCAATTGCAATGTCAACACAACTTCATAGAAGCTAGCCAAGCTAAGCTATTGCAAGGGGGCTAAGAAAGTTGATTATGATCTTTCAAGCGGATTCGAGTGGACTTACTTCTAAAAACTGCGACCAACACTGTCTTAGTTGATGGTAACTTGTCTAACGTACCAAACTACCAACACTTCTTCAAAATTAATAAAATTAAGATGGATAATCTGATTTATGATTATTGGAGACCACAATGGGATTCTTTTTTCTGGGGCCCCTTTTTAGCCTGTGGCTGCGTGACAGTGAGCACGCCGATGTCGATTGCGGTCTTTGCTTGTCCCGCATTAACACTTGTTGGTTAATGGCAGGGCAGCTCTTAATGTAATCTCTGATCTTTACCTTGACTTCTTCACTCCTCAAGCGGTGCACTGGCGCAATAAGCACCGGTGCTGCTTCTTGCCAGTACATCTACAAGTTGAGCAAAGCTGAAGGATCTATGCAATATTACCCCACTTAAAATGCAAGCAAAATAAGTCACAATATTTGGATAAAATAACTAACATTTGTACACTAACAGTCATCTGAGGCACATAATCAGTTTCTCCCAGTTAAGAAATCAGATGATAAAGGTGAGAACAGTGTTCAATTAAAGTATAGCCTTTTTAATGTGTTAGAGACATGGTTTCAACAGAACAGTGTCAGTGATGGGCCTAATGGTTATGAAATTGGAAATGGTATTGGGTGAATCTGTTTCCTCTCCCCTTGCTAATTGAACCTCATGAAAAAAATCCCAAAGAACACCAGAACTCTTAAAAGCCAAATTTAGAAGCCATAGTTACAGTGTCCAAACCTGAACCGCATTTCCCCTGGTTAAAAGACAAAAACACTATCCAAGTATAGAGCAAAACCTACTCTTTGAAATTTTTGTCATTCGCGTGCTTTCTTTCTTAGTACAGATTCACGTGTTTCGGACATGGATGGTCTTAATGAAACGAGATATGATCTTTGGTTGTTAGAGGGTGAAAGTGAAGGTTTTTCCAATTGGAATAGCCATAGAGTCGCTATCAAATCATTATTGTATATACTCCCATATTGGTTTAGCAAAAAAAAAAAAAAACAATTTGACCAATTCTCTGTCTCTAGTTTTTAACAGGTTTTGGACAATTTTACGATACTAATACGAAATGTTTAGCCAGCAGCAGCATACCTTTCCATGCCTTTGGGGGTTAAATAATCCCAAGTTACTCTTATTTGGCAAGCTAGCTGTATTCCAGTATGACTTTCATGAAGCTTAATTTCCGTGGAAAAATGTACTTTGAAGATCTTCTTGATTTCCCTTCTGCTACACAATTCCCATTTCTTCGCTGTTGGAGGCACAGAAAGGAAAGGGTCATACGCTAAAGGCATTAGGCTGAAAATGTTGAATAGAAAATTACTACGTACTAATTATTTTGTGTTTGTTTGATGGGTTTCCACTCTCCAGGAAAATGAAATATCATGGTAGTAATATTCAGCCGTACAAACGGCGATGACCATTGTCTTTTCCACACTGTTTCTCCTCCTCAAAACAAACAGTTAAAAAAAGTTTTTACCTGGTGAAAAATCACCCTGCCTCGATTTTCCAACGCATGGACCACTGTGATTTTCTTTTCAAAGGTGGCCTGACATTTTTCACAGATTGACATGAACACGATCATCAGCAATCAGAAAATCCGGAATCACACTCAACAACAATCCCAACCAAAATCATCCAAGGATCGCTCTAATGTAGCTTTAAATATACCATTAATACAATATAATAAACAAAAAAGTTTCTTTTTTCCTTTGGCTTTGTTTAAAAACTTTAAAAAAATCTCACACTAATGATGAAATTTGCACACTTTTCCTTAACAAAGTAACTTCAAGGTTTCCATCAAAGCTAGCAAGAAATTTTCCTTCTATTGTACAATCAAATTTTGATTTATTCCTCCTTCACTTCAAGCATCAAAGAATATAAAAGCCAAGTCAATCATCTCCACAACATAAAAACAAAGAAGATAGAATTATTGTTGACGTTAATATCCCAGAAATTCCAAATCTGCTGAAGCAATGGAAGATAAGGTCGCAGGTTTCTCAGTAGCTGGAATTTCCAAGCTTTTTTGTTTTTATTTGTTTGGATTATCAACTTTTAGGAGGTTTTCATATTCATAATAATTTAATGTTTGATAATATATATTGTTAAATAATTGAGCTATCTGTCTAGTGGCCTGTAGTAAAGCAAGCATCAGTCACCATAAAGTTGAAGGTCTTTCATGAATAATTTGCCTAATTTTTTTAAAAAATTTTAATTGTTTAATTTATGTTAAAATTTTAAATTATATATTTTTTTTCGTATCATTTTATATTTTTCTTAAAATTGTCACGTCCACTATTTTTTTTTTCAAAAAATTTTTGGAACGCATTCTTAATATCTGTTTAGTACATTTAAGATTTTATTTTCGTAATTTTTTTTCACAAAAATTAGATTTTGATAGACAAAAAATCAACCAAAAAAAAAAATACTCCTATAAAAATTCGATAATGAAATCAAATTGACACTTATTTGCACATCTTTAATTTGTATACTTTAAGTTTAATATCTTTTTACATTTATTTTATAGAAAAATAAAAGCTTAAAAGATTTAGAAGTTCTTATCATAATCCCTCCAATTGAAAGTATCGATGCCTGAAGCCATGAATCGTAAATTTGTTAGAAAATTTGAGCATTGCTATATTTTGGACCAAAAATAAAGGATTCTGCCATTATGCATATGGGTGCAGAAAACTACGGCTAAATGCCCATATAACCAGATAAAAAAAAAAAAAAAAAAGAGGATTTATTTTTCAATATTTGAAAAAATATATATATTTTCAAAGAACACAATGATTAAAGTTTCGGATTTTATTTTGAGTTACCAATTTTGGATGGATAAATTAATTTTATGAGACACAGAACTCATTATAAAACCTAATATCACTTATTAAATCTCGAATTTTTTACAATTTTATATTTAAATTGAGTATCTTATGTTTATTATCAATCGATTTTAAATTAGATATTTAATATCACATTAAATCTCAATTTTCTTTTTTTTACTTGTTACCACTTATCACAAGATGCACCTATTTATTTTCGAGCTATGTATGATGAGAGCATATTAAATTATATAATCATAAAGATTAAAAAAAGCAATGCAAGACTTACCAAAAATATTACAAAGTTTACAAAAAAAAAAAACTATAAAGATTACCAAAATTTTTTCAAAAATTATTAAAATTTTTTCAAAGGAAACTAAAATTCTTACATAGCTTAACACAAACATCACAGAAGTTAACAAAATTCTTAAAAAGATTACTAATTAACACACTACAAAGATTATCAAATCACTACAAATATTATCAAAATTCCTACAAATCATACGAAAACACTATAAGTTTATTAATAATCATTATTAAATTCAAGGAATGATAAAAAAAAATGGCAAAAAGGAGTAAAAGACAAAAACAGGTACCATAAAGAGAACAATATCATGTCAGTTAATCGTGTTTTGATTGCTTTGTAACAAGTAATTTTGAAATTAATAGTATCAATCATACTGCAAAATTTTCTTGGATCTACCTAATAAGAATTACCAATCAACATTAATCTTTAAACCCTTCTCTTTTCCTTTGTTTCTTTTCAATTCTGTTCTCATTGTCCTTGTATATTCCTTTTTCACTTGTCCATTTCTTTGGACTGAAATTTTCAGGATTGGAATGGCGCGCGGGCTCAAAGCATGCCACCTTTTTCCTTTTCGTGTAAGTGATCATATTTTGGGTGAATACAGGTTTTGAACTTTTTTTTTTATTCTCATATTCGATAATCACTTTAAATTTTAATTAATTTAAAAATAAATCAAATCAAATTTTATAAAAAAAGTAAATTTTTTTAATGTTTATCTTATAAATTCATATGATTCGAAATCAAAATTAAAAAAAAAATCAAATATTTTTAATCACTCAAACCAATATTCATTAGTATTTAAACTTATTTTTAACACAAAAAAATAAAAGGTTTTTTTTTTACAAGGTAACGTGATCATAATTGAATTTTATAATTAAAGTTTTAAAAAATTTTAAAATAAAAATTATACATTTATAATTTTTATAAAACGATGAAAAATATTTTTAAATTTTACTTGAATTTAATTTTCGTTTATTTATCAACAATGGACCATGCCACAAAATTACATTTAATCTAGAGTGGACCCTCCACGTTGATCAAACGTTATGAGAATAAGTAACAAACCCTCTAGAGTAGGGACCACCCAAACATAAACTTCCCCTCCCGCGTTTTTCTGATCTGATGTGACCACGTTGATTTAATCCTTTCTCTTAAATGTTCCATTCTCAACCGTCCGATCAAAAACTATCGTTTACGTAAGGAATTGTACAATGCCCTCTCCTCCCAACTCCCTCTCTCTCTCACGCACAAACACACACTTCGACAATTTTTTCAGAGCTTTTCTTGATCACTCTCGCCGGCTGCGACTTTGAGCTCTGGACTTTTGAAGAAGTAAAGTTTTTTTCTTTCACTGTCCAATGCGCGGCAGACACGTGGTTCTTCTTCCCCGAGGCGTTCGATTTTTCCTTTACTGACCGCCGTTTCATTCTGCATTTCCTGTACTCAGACCGGTATGTTTCTTTCTCTCTCTCGAGAAAGTATTTTCTGCTTGGTTCTGGAAACTTTTGAATGCTGGTGACATTAATTATCATTTCTTTTCCTTTCCTTTTCTTTTAACTTTTCAAAAAAAAAAAATCTAATTAGCATTAGACACTGTTTGGAATTTGGATTCCAGAAAGAGAAAAAAGATGAAATCAATATTTTTTATGAAGTAAATTTTAGTTTTTTTCTTTTTTCTTTTTTAATTTTGTTTAATTAAAAAACGAATTTTGAAAAATCTTTGAGCCTGTTCATTTGTACCTTATCTGAATAATTACTTTCGGTCTCTTTTGTTTCATTTTTTCTGATGGACCACTCACCCTCGATTCTTTGCAAACAATACATCAACATTCTCTGGTTTGATTTTTTCATTTTTCAACTTTGTCTTCACCACTTTGTGTCAATTTGTCAACCTTGAGCTCTGAAAAAGTTGAGAATTTTCGTTTTCTTTTAAAGATTTTGGCACCCATTAGTGGAAATTGTTCACTGGAGCTCTATGGCAATAAATTTGTTAGTTTTGGAGATGATTTGAGCTGTGTTAATTGTGAATTAGTACTCAATACATTTTGAAGAAAAAAATGCATGGCTCTTATTGAATAGTTAGAAAAGAAATTGCTGCTTATCGGTGATATGTTAACAACTTCATCATTGATAAAGAGAATCAATGCATGTTGCTTTAGGAGTTGTGTTCTCTTGGTTGCTCCAGTTACTGAACCTTAGGCTCTTATATGTTCCGAGAACCTTCTGCCACTATGCATGTGATACACTTGTTTTTTTTTTTTTTTTTCAATTTCATATGATTGTAATATTTGTATTCTAATGTTTGTTTTTATCTCCAGAGCGGCCTGCATCAATGTAAATCGAGTAAAAAATGTGCAGCTGAAAAGGATCTGTAGGGATTAAGACCTATCCAGTCGATGGATTTCCAGTTAGAGCTCGAAAGGGATTCAAGAGATTAACCCTTTGGAACTTCTGTAAAGACCATGTTGCCCCAAGCAAGCCAGAGGGCAAATATGCAAGGCTGGTTTAAACCTGAAGAGCCTAATTTGTCATATGCTGATCTTCATCAAGAAATTACAAAAGGTGGAAAAAAGGTCTCACCTGAATCGTCCTGGCAGCATAAAAAACAACATGCTGATATCAAGGCAAATGAAGAAGATGAGCTTGTGAAGTACATGTCAAATTTACCAAGCTATCTGGAGAGAAATGTGAAATGTGAGTTGTGAAGTACTTGGGAGCTTTGAGTTGTGAAATGTGAGATTTTGATGCGGTGGAAACGTTAGAATCTCTAGTCTTTTGCTTGGTTTTATAAAGGAGGCTGATGTTAAGGGAACTGATAGCACATTGGAAGTTGAAATGTACAGTTCATGTCAGTGGGATTGTGGGTTTTCAAGAATTGTAATTCATCGAATAGTCAAGAATAGACAATCCTCACCATAAGCCCATAAGCCGAAGTTAATTGGTAATTTGATGCATTTACGTTGAATGAAGATACAAATATATATATATATATATATATATATAGATATAGATATGTATCCAAAAACTTTTTTTGAGAGTTATCAAAATATTACACTTGTGCCACTTGAGAGTGGTGAGTAGGGCTGTAAACGAGCCGAGCCGAGCCGAGTAATGAGAAGCTCGAGCTCGAGCTCGACTCACAACTCGGGGCTCGATACTCGGCTGAGCTCGATCGAGTTTTATTTTTTAAGTTCGAGCTCGATTCGTGATCGAATTCGAGCTACTCGAGCTCATTCGATTAAGCTCGATTAATATGTAAAAATAAGCTCGATTTGTATACTCGACAAGAGTTCGATTATTCATGCTCGAACTCGAACTCGAATTCGGATTCGAAATATTTTTTTAATTAAAAAAATAAAAATATATTTAAATATAAAAGCTCGATTAGGCTCGCGAGCTACTCGAGTCAGATATAAGAATACTCGAATTCGGCTCGATCGATAAGTCGAGCTACTCGAGCTCGAGCTCGACTCGACAATAATCGAACCGAATTCGAATTTTTTTCGAATCAAATCCGAGTAGCTTGCAAGTACTAATGTATCATTTACACCCCTAGTGGTGAGGATAGGGTAAGATTTGAATTGATATTTGTATAAAAAAGAAAAGTACTGCAAATTGCATATAAAGTGTGTTTGGGCCCCCAAATATAATGGGTTTATGCTATAATTTTACCAGGCCCAAAACAAGCCTATTAGGCCCAACATTGTTTTATGACTTAATGAGATTCATTTTATACAGTTTATGACGTGTCTCAATATCCACCAAAAATCCCTAAACAAAATTCCAATTTCTTATCCAAACAGGGAGGCAGACTGAAAAGTGACAGAATTGTTCCTTGACAAATCGTGTAAAAGACAACTATTTACAATCGCAAAGATGCAAGTTTCACGTAAATAAAAAAAGGTCTTAAATTTTACATCGAACCGATTATTTAGATAAAAAAAATTTTATATTATTTATGTTTTATGAGATGTTTTTTATAAAATAAAATCATAAGTTAGGATCAGAATAAAAAATATCTCATAAAAATATAAATCGTAACGATTAAGTTGATTCAAGACGTCAGAAGAATTAATAATCGAATTCTGAAATTACATCGATTCGAAATTTGAATCTCAACCCGTGATACGTGACAGAAGGATGTCAGTTTTCTAAATGACTGATCGGATTTATCTCCGTCAAACTCAACGATCGTGAAGCTTTCGGTACTAAACTCAACAGTAAAAGAAATGGAGCAACAAGAGGAAAACTCCAGCAGGTTGGTGCTTGTGTTGTACCCATTTCAAGGCCATATAAACCCCATGCTCCAGCTAGCCACTATCCTTCATGGAAAAGGCTACTCAATCACCATAGTTCACCCTGAGTTCAACTCTCCTAACCCTTCAAACCAACCTCAATTCACCTTCATATCCATTCCAGATAAGCTACTTGAGTCCAAAGTCTCACTTTTACCGGAGGATTTTATGAGTCTGGTTTTGGCTCTCAACAAGAACTGTGCAGCACCGTTTAAGAAATGCTTGAAACAAATGTTGGACGAGAAGCATCCCCATGAATGTATTGCTGGTATCATTTATGATGCTCTCATGTACTTCGCTCAAACTGTTGCTGATGATCTTGGTTTTCCAGGAATTAGTATGCGTCCCACTGCTGCAGCAATGTTACTCTTTGCTGTCATTCCTCACCCTGATCACGGTACTGCTTTTCACCTTATATTAGTTCTAGCAACAAAAGTTTCCATGATGTTGAAATATGAAATATGAAATATGAACAAATAAAAGACAGAAACTTTAAAGCTTCAAGTAATCTGCTGTCATATAGATTCCGTACGTAATTTATTGAAAAATTGGATGAAAAACTATGAAACTGTATTTGGTTGGACATTAGGCTCTTACACTGTATATTCAGTCAACTGACATCAGTCAGTCAACTAATTTTTCTTAGTGACTTGGCGCTAATTACAGCTTTAAACCATTTCAATTATGTTACAGAATCTGTCTTTGAAAACCAAATACCGGAGCTTCAACCCCTCCAGCTTAAGAAAATGGTTACATCTATGTCACAAAATCCAACAGACGCCATGTCAGAGGTGAGAGCTGCAGCATTAAATGCAACGAAGAGATCATCGGCTATGATCGAGAACACAATGGAATTCCTTGAACACGCAGCACTGTCAAAGATCAAAGAATACTCGCCTGCTCCAGTTTTCACAATTGGCCCCTTTCACAAACTAGCTCCATCCATTTCCAGCTCATTACTGAAGGAAGATGCTCACTGTATTTCTTGGCTTGACAAACAAACCCCGAAATCTGTTATCTATGTCAGCTTTGGAAGCATGGCCAGCTTGAGTGAGCAAAACATTGTTGAGATAGCTTGGGGCTTGGCCAACAGTGAGCAGCCATTTTTGTGGGTGATTAGGCCTGGTTTGATACCTGGCTCAGAAGGGACCGAGTTATTGCCAAAAGGTTTTCAAGAGAAAGTTGGAGAAAGAGGTTGCATTGTTAAATGGACACCTCAAAAGGAGGTGTTAGCGCATGTTGCAGTGGGTGGATTTTGGACTCACTGTGGATGGAATTCTACACTTGAGAGTGTCTCCGAAGGGGTTCCAATGTTATGCAGGCCTTATTTTGGGGACCAAGTTCTTAACATGAGGTACATCTGTTATGTGTGGAAAATAGGCCTGGAATTGGAGAATGAGTTGGAGAGAGGGAAGATAGAAGGAGCTATAAAAAAGCTAATGCTGGATGCAGAAGGAGAGGAGATTAGAAATAAAGCTATGGAATTGAAAGAGAAAACGGAAGATTGTCTGAAAGAGGAGGGCTCTTCATGCAGGTCCTTGAATGAGTTAACAAAGCTAGTTTGATTGCATAATGATCATCTGATGGAGATATTCCACAAATCAATTACATTCCCTTGATATGAAGGCTAGTATTCTTTGGCCAAAAAGAAACAGAAAGTATTTAGTGGAATGTTCTTAAGTTTAAGATATAATCAACTTTTACTTTGAAAGTGGGGATGTTCTTTTATTAAAACACATGAAAATTAAAATCAGATATCATCAGTATGATTAAACCCATGAAACTAAGATCATTGTACTTGCTAGTTTATGGTAGTATGGCACCTGTATTTGAAAGGGTTGGAAAAGGAGATATTGTCAGTTTGAATAGAACATTATACATTAGTAGAGAACACCTTATAATAATATTACAAACTAAGGCGTAGTTACAGAAATCAAATTTCTTTGTTCTTAACATACAACTCGAGAACATAAGAAAAACTCTCAAATTCATTAAAAAAAAAAAACAAATGCTTCAAAGCTTTTAACCAGAAATCTTAACGGCTTTGACATCAGGTATCTTTTCTTCCTCCTTAGGAACAGTAACGGTAAGAACCCCATTTTCCATGGTAGCTTTCACCTGATCCATCTTTACATTCTCAGGCAACCTGAACCTCCTCGTGAACTGCCCACCGCTACGTTCAACCCTGTGCCTGGTGTCGTTCTTGTCTTCCTTCTCAACGTTCCTCTCTCCGCTTGTTTGAAGCACCCTGTCATCTTCAATCTCGACTTTCACTTACTCTTTCTTAAGACCTGGAAGGTCAGCCTTGAAGACGTGAACTTCTGGGGTTTCTTTCCAGTCGATCCGAGTGTTGACAAAAGCAGATGTTTTAGGGGATTGTATGGTGAGTGAAGAAGAAGAGCAAGGGAAGTCCTTGAAAGGATCCCATACGTCAAAAGAGAAAGGATCGAAGTTGCTGCTCCTTGGATTGCCAAGATAACTTGGGATCATCACCATTTTCTTGCTTTTTTATGAAATTAAGGATTGATGAATAAATAAATAAAATCGCAAGCCTTTAGTTGCCAATAAGTTCTCTCAAACTCTGTTTAGCTGTCTTGAAGCCATTTAAAGTAGAACATGTTGGGTATATAAAAGAAGCCGAAGAACAATCTAATACCATTCTGATACTTGTGTTTGGGCCTCAAGAGGACTTTGACTTCTTCCGCAGCTCGTGAATGTTTCAGAACTTGCTTGAATGGTCTGAACTCTTTTGCAATCAAATCGACTTCAATGTTGAAATGGGCTTTTCTTCGTCTTCTACGATCCATTAGGCTTATTTGTCCAGATCATTCAAGTTAATTCTCTAACATTAGTGAATCCACCAGTTTTCAAGCCCAACAGAAAAGTTCGAGAACGTACTAGCTTCCTCTTCAGCTTATTTTAAATACCCGACATGCCCGACCTTGTTAGCACAAGAAAACAGAATCATATTCTCGGAAACAATCAGTAATCAAACACTTGCGGTCTCACTGGCCCAGTTTTGTCGTTGATCCTTGTTCTATAGTGTAAGAGAAATGGCGATGATCCCCAGTTTCTTTGGAAATCGAAGGAGCAGCGTCTTCGATCCTTTCTCTCTCGATATTTGGGATCCCTTCAAGGACTTCCCTTTCCCTTCCTCACTCACCACGAATACATCTGAAACCTCAGCTTTTGCCAATACCCGTATCGACTGGAAGTAAACCCCTGAAGCTCATGTGTTCAAGGCTGATCTTCCAGGGCTCAAGAAAGAAGAAGTGAAAGTTGAGATTGAAGATGACCGGGTGCTTCAAATAAGCGGAGAAAGGAAAATAGAAAAGGAAGACAGGAACGACACCTGGCACCGCGTGGAGCGGAATAGTGGCAAATTCTCGCGGAGTTTTAGGTTGCCGGAGAATGTGAAGATGGATCAAGTTAAGGCTTCCATGGAAAATGGGGTTCTTACTGTTACTGTTCCCAATGTGGAAGTGAAGAAACCTGATGTCAAAGCTATTGAGATTTCTGGTTAGAAGACCGAAGGGCTTGAAGGGTTCTGTTGTGTGTCTGCTTGTCTTCAAGTTTGAAATGCCTTGAACTAGAATAAACATGGTGGGATTGATGTTATATTTAAATTATGGTTTGTGATATTATAATATTACAGAGTTTTTATCAATAATGTAAAATTGTTCCTTTCTTTTATTCACTCTGCTCTTTTTGAATTCAGCTGCTCTATTCAAATCATCTATTTTAACCATTTCAAATTCATTTTAGTAATGGAGATACGTTCAAGATTAAAGAATGCTTCTATTTTCTATGATGCAAATGCAATCTTGGCATATAAGTTGCAAGAATGATACAATTGTTGGCCTTGGTTTATCTATTTTCAGTAGATATTTTTGCTTTCCATTAGTGGTTGCCTGTTAAAATGATGGAAAAAACTTGAAAAACTTTCATATGTAGCAGTAAGTTATGAAAAAAAAAAAAAAAAAACCAAAAACTTCATAAAAAAATGTTTAATGCTAATTGTTTTATGACTTTATTTCTAATTTGTGCTTAGAAGTCCAGTTTGCTTGTTGACTTCAAAAGCAGTGAAATACTCCCTAAATTCCTTCAACAATAATATTTTAGTTATTTTAACTTAAGACTGTTCTTAAATTCTAACAAGTTTTCAATAAACGACCAGTGCTTGTTCCATGCCTGGATCCGTTGTATCAGCTATGCACACCATTGACTCCTCAAACTGCCATTGCCACACTACAAATTCAACTCCCATGTCCAACCCTTGACTTCTCGTTCTACCAATATCAAACGACCTATTTGATGTAGACAACTCCGTGAGTTTCTTTTAAAACATCATTATGGATTTCATAGCTGTCATATCACATGTATAATATCATCTTCAAACCCCCAGCTTGCAGGGGACACATTATCCATTTCAAGGACACATAAAATTAATTCAATGCTTCAACTCGGCACCTTACTTCCTGCCAATGGCTTCTCCATTACAGTTGCACAAACTAAATTCAACTTTCCTAATCCAGCCAATCACCCTTATTTTACATTTCTATCAATATCAGATGCCCTGTTTGATCGAAACGCCTCCTCCATGGGTATAAAAGAAGTCATATCATGTCTTAACACGATGAATGTTCATTATCATTAAGTTAAAATCTTCACTGTTGATACATACGCCGTGTCGTTGGCCCTTGGTGCCTGGACTTTGTCCCCTCAGATTTAGGGATTTGCCCATAGCCAATTTCAAAAATATAAATACCTTACTATAAGTAAGAGCAAGAACAAGTGACAAAGATCATCTTCAGCAGTCATTTGCAATACTATAGACTGCCTTCAACGGTCATTATTGGCATACTTACAACAGCAGTGCTAAGTTCCTGTCTTTCCTATAGGCCCTCTCCATTCTATTGTTCCAATTGCCTCTAAAAGTTCACTAAAAGAGGATAGAAACTGCATAGAATGGCTTGACGAGCAGACTCATAACTCAGTTTTATATGTGACCCTAGGAAGCATAACTTCCATGAATCAGAACGAGTTAAGGAAAAGGGCTAAAGGGCTGAGTAACAGTACACTGCGTTTCTTATGGGTGCTCAGGCCAGGTTCATTGTTGCCAAAAGATTCCAATGAAATCATTGGACAAAGTGGCTTAATTTTGAAATGGGCACCCCGAAAGGAAGTATTGGCACATAAGGTAAGAGCCATTGCGGCCGGCGCTCAACCCTGGAAGTGCTGTAGTTGCAATGGTATGTCAACCATGCTTCGGCCTTTCGGGAATCAAAGAGTGAATGCGAGTACTTTAATTTCTTTATATTATTGCCCTGGGCTTTTGAACATTAATTCAATGTGCTTTCCCTTTTCTTCAGATTGAGACTTGTCATTCTTATCATCAGAAAACAATTCATTACTGAACAACTCACAATTTCATTAGTAGAATTCTGATTACATTCTTACATCATTTGAACCAACATAATCGACTAGCAACTTCCAACATTAACAGCGATGATCAATTCCTTAAAAACATATTTCTCGGATTTTTAATGTTTCAGTCACTTCAACCTGAAATCTGAATAGTCCTGATATGAGGCTTCTGCACTTCAACCTTAGGAACAGTAACAGTGAGAACCCCATTTTCCATAGAAGCTTTAACTTGATCGATCTTCACGTCCTCGGGCAACCTAAATCTCCTCGAGAACTTGCCACTGCTGCGCTCCACGCGATGCCACGTGTCATTGTTGTCTTCCTTCTCGACATTCCTCTCGCCGCTGATTTGAAGCACCCTGTCATCTTCAATCTCCACTTTCACTTCCTCTTTCTGCAGCCCTGGAAGGTCGGCCCTGAACAAATGGGCTTCCGGGGTCTCCTTCCAGTCAACACGAGCGTTGACAAAAGCGGAGTTCTCTTGGGAGAGTGATGGGAAATTGTTAAATGGATCCCATGCATTGACAGAGAATGGATCAAAGTTATTGCCTCGTCGGTTGCCGAAGAAAGTTGGAATCAAAGACATTTTTTTTTTTCAATTCTTGGAACTGCTTTGACGGTTGGTATTTTGAGAATTAAAACCTACTCCTCATATTTCTTGATTGGGGAAGGAGGGATGGGTATTTAAACGATTCGAAGGAAAGTCTCCCAACTATATTTGAAAATGAATTGGTTATCCATAAAGATAAAGAAAGCTTTCTTGTAGTTCCGCTTCTTGCTCTAAAAATGAAGAAAGACTTGTCGGAAATCCCCGGTTGGGTTGGTCCAACCAAGAAAGGCATGGGAGTCTTTGGGCATTGCTTGGGCCGAGTGTTGTAAAGGACTGGTTACCTAGAAACTAAATAATAAACATGACCTCTTACTTAACATCAGGGCAATCAATTTTGGGTCTCGATGGAGGACATTTCGATTTTCTAGTAAATTCAAGGGCCTTCCAGGCTTCTCTTGCGGAACCTGGATGTAAGGATTTTCTTTCTGATTAAGCCTTCAAATGGGCCAAGCCTCGCCCTTCATTGACTTGTACTGGTCTCTTTATTGGGTATTTTTTCCTCTTTTTTATTGCAATATACAAGGTCAAAAAGTCTAATTTTTAGGTTTCTTTTAATTTAATGGTAAATTAATTGGACTGTGCTAAGTCAACATGCATTGATTTCTCACTCGCTAATGTCAACACATCTTCAGAGAAGCTAGCCAAGCTAAGCTATGGTAAGGGGGCTAGGAAAGTTGATTATGATCTTTCAAGCGGACTCAAGTGGATTTACTTCCTCTAAAACTGTGATCAGCACTGTCTTAATTAATGGTAATTTGTCTAATGTACCAAACTACCTACACTTCTTCAAAATTGATAAAATTGCGATGGACAATCAGACTTATGTTTGTTGGAGACCGCAATGTGAACCATTTTTCTGGGGCCGCTTTTTAGGCTGTAGCTGGGTGACAGTGAGTAAACCGTTTGTCTATTGCGGTCTTTGTTTGTCACACATTAATATTTTCCGGCGAATGGCTCGGCGCTATTAATGTAACGTACACAATACAGTTCTTAATTTTATTTTAATATTAATTATATTGATCGATATATTTTAATTATATCAAAATATGATAATTTAAAATAATTTTTTATATCAAATTTAATATTAAATAATATTAATTATTATTGTTAATTTTAATCTGTTTCGATAAATTTTAATAAAATAATATATTTTTATCGATACATAAATATAAAATATATTTTATAATTTTTAACTTATTTTTTAATATTTAATTATTTTTAATCTAATAAAAATAAAATTAATTGATAAAATAAATCTCTCGTTGGTTAATTTCTGTGCAGATCCTTCCACCTCCAATTTCAAGGTCAAATTTTGATAAGGTGCTTGATAGAGAGAGGCCAACAGTGAGCAAAGCTGATATTGAGTTCCATGAAAGATTTACAAATGAGATTGGAGAGGAAGGTTGATGGATTCGATGAAATTGTCACATTGATCGACTCTACTTGTGAGTGCAATCTCTGCTATTTGTATTATTATAAATATTTAAAAATATTATAAAAAATTTATAATATTATAAAAAATTTATGATATTATTTTTTATATTTTTAAATTTATTTATTTAATTTTTAAATATATTGAATATTTATTTTATAAATTATTAATAATATTATAATATATAAGTTCATATATATTTATAAATAATTTATATAAATTTTAAAATAATATATTAAAATAATTGATATCATTATATATCATATTTTTCAAAAAAATCAAAACATTATTCGATATGATATTTAACGATCTTAGTCCATAGTTTCAACCTTCACTCATTATCAGGAAAATTCTTCTGTCTCCGATCTCTACCTTTACTTCTTCACTCCTCAGCGCGTGCACTGGCGCAATAGGCACAAGAGCTGTTTCTTGCCAGTATATCTGGAAGTCGAGCAAAGCTGAAGGATCTATAAAATATTACCCTACTTAAAATGTAAGCAAAATAAGTCGCAATAGTTGGATAAAATAACTAACATTTGTACACTAACAGTCATCTCATGCACATGATCAGTTTTTCCAAGTTAAAAAATCAAAAGAAAAAGATGAGAGCAGTGTTCAATTAAAGCACAGCCTTTTTAATGTGTCAGAGGCAGGGCTTTCAATTAAACAGTGTCAGTGATGGGCCTAATGGTTACAAAACTGGAAAATGGTGTTGGGTAAATCTGTTTCCTCTCCACTTGCTAATTTAAACCTCATGAAAAACCCAAAGAACACCAGAACTTTTAAAAGCCTAATTTAGAAGCCATGTAGTTACAGTGTCCAAACCTGAGCCGTTTTCCCCCTGAATAAAAGACAAAAACACTATCCAAGTACATAGCAAAGCCAATTCTTTGAAAATTGTCATTCACGTGCTCTTTCTTAAGTTTAGTACAGATTCACGTGTTTCGGATATGGATGGTCTTAATGAACCGAGCTATGAGCTTTGATTGTTAAAGGGTGAAAGTGACAGGTTTTTCCAATTGGAATAGCCATAAAGAGTCGCTATCAGATCATTATTGTATATATTCCCATAATAGTTTAGCAAAAAAAAATAACAATTTGACAAATTCTGTGTCTTTAGTTTTAACAGGTTTTGGACAATTTAGCGAACAGCAGCACACTTTTTCATGTCTTTGGGGGGAGAGAATCCCAAGTTTCTCTTATTTGGCAAGCTAGCTATATTCCGGTATGAGTCACTGTGGATGGAATACTACGCTTGAGAGTTATTGCCAAAAGGTTTCCAAGAGAAAGTTGGAGAAAGAGGTTGCATTCTTAAATGGGCACCTCAAAGGGAGGTGTTAGCGTATGATGCAGTGGGTGGATTTTGGACTCACTGTGGATGGAATCTACACTTAAGAGTGTATCCGAAGGGGTACCAATGTTATGCAGGCTCTGTTTTGGGGACCAAGTTCTTAACATGAGGTGCATCTGTTATGTGTGGAAAACAGGCTTGTAATTGGAGAATCATTAGTTGGAGAGAGGGAAGATAGAAAGAGCTATAAAAACTCTAATGGTGGATGTAGAAGGAGATGAGATTAGAAATAAAGCTATGGATTTGAAAGAGAAAGCGAAAGATTGTCTAAGAGAAGGGGGCTCTTCATTCAGGTAATTGAATGAATTCATAAAGCTAGTTTGCTTGCATGATGATCTGATGGAGATATACCATAAATAAATTACATTCCCTTGAAATGAAGGCCAGTATGCTTTGGCCAAAAAGAAAAAGAAATTATAGTAGTATTTAGTATAATGCAAGTTTCAAAAAACGATTGTATAATAGAATAGTGATTGCGAAATTACGGTAGCGTCACCGTTCGTCATTGATATTGAAAAAAATACAATTGAAAAATTGAATCACACTCAAAACGGTGTGTAACAGCAGTTAAAAAATAATATAACGAAACATAACGACAATAAGGGACCGTTATTATCATTATTTTCGTTTTTTTAACTATTGGTTCAAATTAAACAGAAAAAAACTTTAATCAACAATACTCTTAATTCAATCTTCAAGTTACTCAAATTCAAATCAGTTTTAAGTCTTAAATTAATAATTAAAATTAAAGAAGATAAGAAAAAGTTAAATTACCTTTTTTTTTTTGCAAAATTTTTGTAAAATAATGTTGATTTTTATGATAATATGAGAGAGATGATATTGAGATAGTCGGTAGGCAATGACATTGATGAGGGTACGCGAGAGAGTGAGACAAATGCAGAGAGAAAAAGGGAGAGAAGAAGAAAACACGAAGAAGAGATGGGCGAGGTTTTCTGGCTTGTCTTTCTGGTTATCAAAGTTTGAGGAAAATTTTGGGGGAGAGGGGTGTCTGAGGGGGCCGCGTGGGATGGGTGAATGCGTGAGTTTTTATTTATTTAATTTTATTAAAAGATAAGTTTAAAATTTTGTAATTTTTGAATATATATATATATATATTATAGATTTTAGATGAAAACTTTTAATAAATTTTTTTGTATAAGTTAGAAAAAATAATTAAAATTTAATATTATAATTTGATTTTATTATTTATTAATTTATGATTTTATATTTGAAATTTAACAATTTTTTTATTATTTGGTATTTGTATTGTTATTAATTCTTTTGTTATTAGATTAATTCTTGTTAATTTATAACTATAATTGATGAAATTTGAAATTATTATATTTTTAAGTTTGTAATTTTATTAAATATGAATGCTTGATATTTAACGTATTATGTTTAGTTAATATTTTGATTTGTTTAGAATTAATTTTGAATATGAACTTGGCTTAAGTAAAAATTTTGTTGCTAAATCAAATATAAATGTTTTATTGTAATCTAATAAAATTGTGAATTTAAAAAATAAAAAACATAGATGTTATAAAATGTGTTAAAATAAATAATAAAAAGTTTTATAATTATAATTATAATTATTATATTTTATAATAAATTGTGTAAAATTAAAAAAAATTTACGATTACTGCAATGATCTCCGTTATGTTTAAAAACGCGATAAATACGACGCGATCGAAAACGTAATTGTGACTGCTATTTTATAATGTGCTTAAGTTTAAAATTCAAACCGTATTTACTTTAAAGGTATTGGGACGTTCTTTTATTAAAACACATGAAACTAAAATCAGATATCATCAGTTTGATTAAGCCCAATGAAACTAAGATCATTATACTTTCAGTTTATGGTAGTATGGCATCTGTACCATTTTACATTAGTAGAGAACACCTCACAATAATATAACAAACTAAATTCACAAAAAAAAAAAAAATTACAACATAAGGCGTAGTTATAGAAATCAAATTTCATTTTTTTTAACATACAACTCGAAACATAAGAGAAACTCTCAAATTTGCTTATTGACTTCAAAAGCAGTGAAATACTCCCAAAATTCCTTCAACAATAATATTTTATACAGGCACTTAAGACTGTTCTTAAATTCCAAACAAGTTTTCAAAAAGATTAAAAGACAAGCGACCGGTGCTGGTTCCATGCCCTGGATCCGGTGTATCAGCTATGACACCACTCAGCTAACATTGCACACTGCAAATTCAAGTCCCATGTCACACTCTTGACTTCTCGTTCTGACTATATCAAACGACCTATTTGATGTAGACAACTCTATGTATTTCCTTTTTCTTTTTTTTGGATAAGCTAAATACCGTTATGGACTTCATAACTGTCGTAACACATTTATAATATCATCTTCAAAGCTTGCAGGGACACATAAATCCAATTTCAGGGACTGCGTTGAATGGTGTTGGTTCCATGTCGAGTTCAAGGACGCATGAAATTAATCCACTGCTTCAGCTCGGTACCCTTCTTCGTGCCAATGGCTTCTCAATTACATTTGCACACACTAAATTCAACTCTCCTAAACCAGCCAATCACCCTGATTTTACATTTCCATCAATATCAGATGCCTGTTTGATCGAAACGCCTCCTCCATGGATATAACTGATGTCATATCATGTCTTAACACGAGCCGCAAAGCCCCACTCTAGAATTCACTAACCCAGAGTATTGAAAGGGAGGAGGAAGATCATACTAGTAAGCTCCCATGTATTGATTATGATGGATCCATGTCTTTACAGAAGCTGTGGCACATGAACTGGAGCTGCAAAGCAACATGCTGGGAACCACTAGTGCTGCCACTCCCACTCCGCTCACATACTATTCATTTCCACTACTCCAGAAAGAAGGTTATATTCCATGGCAAGGTATATTTTCTTAACATTTGTGTTGCTCTTCAATAATAGAGATATAGTTGATACGTTAAAATCTTCATTGTCTATACTCGATACAGACGCCATGTTATTGGCCTTGGTGCCTGGAGTACATCCCCTCAGGTTCAAGGATCTGCCCATAGCCAATTTCGATCATCTTCAGCAGTCATTTGCAATTCTATAGCCTGCCTTAAACGGTCATTATTGGCACAGTTACAACGGCAGTGCAAAGTTCCTGTCTTTCCTATAAGCCCTCTCCATTTCTATTGTTCCAATTGCCAATAGCATTTTACTAAAAGAGGATAGAAGCTGTATAGAATGGCTCGACGAGCAGACCCATAACTCATTTTTAGGAAGCACAGCTTCCATGAATCAGAACGAGAGAAGGGAAAGAGCTAAAGGGCTGAGTAACAGCAGACTGCCTTCCTTATAGGTGCTCAGGCCAGGTTCATTATTGCCTAAAGATATCAATGAAATTATTGGTGAAAGTGGCTTAATTTTGAAATGGACTCCACAAAAGGATGTATTGGCACATAAAATAATAGGACGATTTTCGATCCATTGTGGCTGGAACTCAACCCTGGAAAGTGTTACAGCTGCAATGATAATCAATTAAAATGTGTTATTTCATATCTAATAAATTTTTAATATTTTGTAATCTTATATTTATGTTGGATTAATTAAGTTACTGCTAATTGAATTTAAATTGAATATTTAATATAATATCAAAATTAATTGCATCACTAATCGTCTCCATAAATAATATCAAAGTCAATATCACAAGTTCATATGTCCCTTCCTCAAGCAATTGCTTTTGGAAGGGTTTGTAGCATTTAAAGTCCTAACTTCTAAGGTCCTAAAAGTGAAAAATAGTATCAGAACCAAGATATAAGCCTTATAGGGCAAGAAAATTGATAGTATGCGTCTTCCTAACAATAATTACTTTTGGGAGAGTTGGTGGTATGCATACAACAAATAATTGGTAGCGCTGAAGTCGTAAAAGTAATATTAGAGCAAAGATTTTCTTCTGATATCCTTTCTAAATCTATCAAAGTCAGAATTTTTTTTTGTTATTTTTTGGATGCCATGGTCACTTGTGTGTGCTAAATATATTATTATAAGATTAGGGTATGTCTCTTTTGAAAGCAATTGCTATTGAAATAGTGAGAGAGTTAGTAGCACTTTAGGTTTTAAAAGTGAAAAAAAAAAATCAAAACTAAGATATAAGCCTATATAAGGCTAAGGTACATGCTTTGGTAGCGTGTGAAAGTGGTATCAGGCCAAAAAATATTTCTATTGCTTTTTATAAATTTGTTAGAGCCAGATTTTTTTTTTTTTCAAATTTATTACGTGATATATTTTTTTTATTACTTTTTTCAAATTTATCACGTGACAGATTTTTTTCAACTCCATCTACAGCAATTGCTTTTGAGAGAATTGGTAACGTTTGAGGTTATAAAAATGGTATCAGAATTAGGATTTTCTTCTATTATCCTTTCTAAATTTGTCATGTCAAATCAGGATTTTTTTATGTTGCCTTTATAAATTTTGTTAGAGTCAAGATTTTATTCTGTTACTTTTTTCAAATCTATCAGGCCAAAATTGTTATGTGATAGCTTTCTTTTGTTATCTTTTTCAAATCTGTTATGTAATAGATTTTTTTTTTTTTTATCTCTACATATAGCAATTATTTTTGGAATAGTTGGCAACAAAGTAAAAAATTTTTTTTGTTATTTTTTGTAAATTTGTTAAAGCCTAAGATTTTTTTTGTTATCTTCTCCAAATATATCACATGACAATTTTTTTTTATTTTCACCTAAATATAATGGAAACCAGTTAAAATTATTATCTCATATATTGATAGTTTTATATTCAAATTGAATTTCTTCACTTATTATCAATTGATTTTAAGTTAAATGTTTAATAATATCAACATGTTTTGGGATCAAAGGGTAAATCCAAGAAGTTTGTTTTCTTATATTTTTGTCCTAGGCTTTTGAGCATTAACCCAATGTGCTTTCCCTTTGCTTCAGATTGAAACTCGCCATTATTATAATCAGACAACAATTAATTACTGCAATGAAAACATTATTAAGAACAACTCCCAATTTCATTACTAGAATTCTGATTACATTCTTAAACATTTGAACCAGTAATTATATAATCTACTGACAATTTCCAATTCCTTAAAAACATATTTCTAGGATATTTCATATTCTACTGACAACTTCCGACATTAACTGCGACCACCAATTCCTTAAAACATATTTATAGGATTTTTCATGTTTAAGGCACTTAAAACTTCAATCAGACATTTGAATGGTGAATGGTCTTGAAATTAGGCTTTTCCACTTCAACTTTAGGAACAGTGACGGTGAGATCCCCATTTTCCATAGAAGCTTTAACTTGATCCATCTTCACCTTCTTCATAAAGCTAAACCTCCTCGAGAACTTGCCGCTTCTCCGCTTCATGAGAAGCCTTATGTCATTCTTGTCCTTCTCAACATTCCTCTCCCCGCTGATATGAAGCACCGTGTTATCTTCAATCTCCACTTTCACTTCCTCCTTCGTCATGTCTAGATAGTAGATCGTGAACACATGGGCTTCCGGGGTCTCCTTCCAGTCAACACGAGCGTAGACAAAATCGGAGTTCTCTTGAGAGAGTGATGGGAAATTCTCGAAGGGATCCCATAGATCTACAGAGAATGAATCAAAGTTATTGCCTTGTCGGTTGCTCCATACATCTACAGAGAATGAATCCACTTCAACTTTAGGAACAGTGACGGTGAGATCCCCATTTTCCATAGAAGCTTTAACTTGATCCATCTTCACCTTCTCCTTGAAGCTAAACCTCCTCGAGAACTTGCCACTTCTCCGCTTCAAGAGAAGCCTTATGTCATTCTTGTCCTTCTCAACATTCCTCTCCCCGCGGATATGAAGCACCCTGTTATCTTCAATCTCCACTTTCACTTCCTCCTTCGTCATGTCTAGATAGTAGATCGTGAACACATGGGCTTCCGGGGTCTCCTTCCAGTTAACACGAGCGTTGACAAAATCGGAGTTCTCTTGGGAGAGTGATGGGAAATTCTTGAAGGGATCCCATACATCTGCAGAGAATGAATCAAAGTTATTGCCTTGTCGGTTGACAAAGAAAATTGGAATCAGAGACATTTTCTTTTCAATTTCTTGGAACTGCTTTGACGGCTGGTGTTTTGAGAATTAAAACCTACTTCTTGTATTTCTTGTTTGGTGAAAGTGGGATAGGGTTGCGTATTTAAAGGATTCGAAGGAAGATTCTAGTACTTTCCAGGGCAATCAATTTTGGGTCTCGATGGATGACGTTTCTATTTTGTAGTAAACTCAAGGGCCTTTCAAGCTTCTCTTGCTGAACCTGGATGCAAGGATTTTCTTTCTGATTAAGCCTTCGAATGGGCCGAGCCTTGTCCTTCATTGACTTCTACTGGTCTCTCTGTTGGGTATTTTTTTCCTCTTTTTTATTGCAATTTCCAAGGTCAAAAAGTCTAATTTTTAGGTTTCTTTTAATTTAATGGTAAATTAATTGAATTGTGCTCATTCCACATGCATTGATTTCTCAATTGCAATGTCAACACAACTTCATAGAAGCTAGCCAAGCTAAGCTATTGCAAGGGGGCTAAGAAAATTGATTATGATCTTTCAAGCGGACTCGAGTGGACTTACCTCCCCTAAAAACTGTGACCAACACTGTCTTAGTTGATGGTAACTTGTCTAACGTACCAAACTACCAACACTTCTTCAAAATTGATAAAATTACGATGGATAATCTGATTTATGATTATTGGAGACCACAATGGGATTCTTTTTTCTGGGGCCCCTTTCTAGCCTGTGGCTGGGTGACAGTGAGCACGCCCATGTCGATTGCGGTCTTTGTTTGTCCCGCATTAACATTTGCTGGTTAATGGCAGGGCAGCTCTTAATGTAATCTCTGATCTCTACCTTGACTTCTTCACTCCTCACGCGGTGCACTGGCGCAATAAGCACCGGTGCTGCTTCTTGCCAGTACATCTACAAGTTGAGCAAAGTTGAAGGATCTATGCAATATTACCCCATTTAAAATGCAAGCAAAATAAGTCACAATAGTTGGATAAAATAACTAACATTTGTACACTAACAGTCATCTGATGCACATAATCAGTTTCTCCCAGTTAAGAAATCAGATGATAAAGGTGAGAACAATGTTCAATTAAAGCATAGCCTTTTTAATGTGTTAGAGGCATGATTTTCAACAGAACAGTGTCAGTGATGGGCCTAATGGTTATGAAATTGGAAATGGTATTGGGTGAATATGTTTCCTCTCCACTTGCTAATTGAACCTCATGAAAAAAAACCCAAAGAACACCAGAACTTTTAAAAGCCAAATTTAGAAGCCATAGTTACAGTGTCCAAACCTGAACCGGCATTTCCCCTGGTTAAAAGACAAAAACACTATCCAAGTACAGAGCAAAACCTACTCTTTGAAAATTTTGTCATTCCCGTGCTCTTTCTTTCTTAGTACAGATTCACGTGTTTCGGACATGGATGGTCTTCATGAAACGAGATATGATCTTTGGTTGGTAGAGGGTGAAAGTGAAGGTTTTTCCAATTGGAATAGCCATAGAGTCGCTATCAAATCATTATTGTATATACTCCCATATTGGTTTAGCAAAAAAAAAAATAATAATTTGACCAATTCTCTGTCTCTAGTTTTTAACAGGTTTTGGACAATTTTACGATACTAATACGAAATGTTTAGCCAGCAGCAGCATACCTTTTCATGCCTTTGGGGGTTATATAATCCCAAGTTACTCTTATTTGACAAGCTAGCTGTATTCCAGTATGACTTTCATGAAGCTTAATTTCCATGGAAAAATGTACTTCGAAGATCTTCTTGATTTCCCTTCTGCTACACAATTCCCATTTCTTCTCTGTTGCAGGAACAGAAAGGAAAGGGTCATACGCTGAAGGCCTTAGGCTGAAAATGTTGAATAGTAAATTACTACGTACTAATTATTTTGTGTTTGTTTGATGGGTTTCCACTGTCCAGGAAAATGAAATATCATGGTAGTAATATTCAGCCGTACAAATGGCGATGACCATTGTCTTTTCCACACTGTTTCTCCTCCTCAAAATAAACAGTTAAAAAAAGTTTTTACCTGGTGAAAAATCACCCTGCCTCGATTTTCCAACTCATGGACCACTGTCTGTCAGTGATTTTCTTTTCAAAGGTGGCCTGACATTTTTCACAGATTGACATGAACACGATCATCAGCAATCAGAAAATCCGGAATCACACTCAACAACAATCCCAACCAAAATCATCCAAGGATCGCTCTAATGTAGCTTTAAATATACCATTAATACAATATAATAAACAAAAAAGTTTCTTTTTTCCTTTGGCTTTGTTTAAAAACTTTAAGAAAATCACACAGTAATGATGAAATTTACACACTTTTCCTTAACAAAGTAACTTCAAGGTTTCCATCAAAGCTAGCAAGAAATTTTCCTTCCATTGTACAATCAAATTTTGATCTATTCCTCCTTCACTTCAAGCATCAAAGAATATAAAAGCCAAGTCAATCATCTCCACAACATAAAAACAAAGAAGATAGAATTATCGGTGACGTTAATATCCCAGAAATTCCAAATCTGCTGAAGCAATGGAAGATAAGGTCGCAGGTTTCTCAGTAGCTGGAATTTCCAAACTTTTTTGTTTTTATTTGTTTGGATTATCAACTTTTAGGAGGTTTTCATATTCATAATAATTTAATGTTGAATAATATATATTGTTAAATAATTGAGTTTTCTGTCTAGTTGAAGGTCTTTCATGAATAATTTGCCTAATTTTTTAAAAAATTTTGATTGTTTAATTTATGTTAAAATTTTAAATTATATATATATATATATATTTTTTTCGTATCATTTTATATTATTCTTAAAATTGTCACGTCCACTAATTTTTTTTTTCAAAACATTTTTAGAACACATTCCTAGTATCTGTTTAGTACATTTAAGATTTTATTTTCGTAATTTTTTTCACAAAAATTAGTTTTTGATAGACAAAAAATCAACAAAAAAGGAAAAAAATCCTATAAAAATTCGATAATGTAATCAAATTGACACTTATTTCCACATCTTTAATTTGTATACTTTAAGCTTAATATCTTTTTACATTTATTTTATAGAAAAATAAAAGCTTAAAAGATTTAGAAGTTCTTATCATAATCCCTCCAATTGGAAGTATCGATGCATGAACCCATGAATCGTAAATTTGTTAGAAAATTTTGAGCATTACCATATTTTGGACAAAAAATAAAGGATTCTGCCATTACGCATATGGTGCAGAAACTATGGCTAAATGCGCATATAACCAAATAAAAAAAAAAGGATTTCTTTTTCAATATTTGAAAAAAAATATATTTTCAAAGAACACGAGGATTAAAGTTTAGGATTTTATTTTCGAGTTACCAATTTTGGATGGATATATTAGTTTTATGAGACACAAAAAATTTCTCTCATTATAAAACATAATATCTCTTATTAAATCTCGAGTTTTTTACAATTTTATATTTAAATTAAGTCTTTTGCGTTTATTATCAATAAATTTTAAATTAAATATTTAATATCATATTAAATCTCAATTTTTTTTTTTACTTGTTATCACTTATTTCAAGATGCACCTATTATTTCCGAGCTATGTATGATGAGAGCATATTAAATTATTTTATCATAAAGATTAAAAAACGCAATTCAAGACTTACCAAAAATATTACAAAGTTTACAAAAAAAGTATAAAGATTACCAAAATTTTTTCAAAAATTATTAAAATTTTTTCAAAGGAAACTAAAATTCTTACATAGCTTAACACAAACATTACAGAAGTTATCAGAATTCTTAAAAGGATTACTAATTAACACACTACAAAGATTATCAAAATTCTTACAAATAATACGAAAACACTATAAGTTTATTAAAAATCATTATTAAATTCAAAGACTGATAAAAAAAAAAAAAGGATGGCAAAAAGGAGTAAAAGACAAAAACAGGTACTATAAAGAGAACAATATCATGTCAGTTAATCATGTTTTGATTGCTTTGTAACAAGTAATTTTGAAATTAATAGTATCAATCATACTGCAAAATTTTCTTGGATCTACCTAATAATAATTACCAATCAACATTAATCTTTAAACCCTTCTCTTTTCCTTTATTTCTTTTCAATTCTGTTCTCATTGTCCTTGTATATTCCTTTTTCACTTGTCCTTTTCTTTGGACTGAAATTTTCAGGATTGGAATGGCGCGGGCTCAAAGCATGCCACCTTTTTCCTTTTCGTGTAAGTGATCATATTTTGGGTGAATAAAGGGTTTGAAAATTTTTTTTATTATCGTATTTGATAATCATTTTAAATTTTAATTAATTTAAAAATAAATAAAATAAATAAATTTTTTTAACGTCTGCTTTATAAATTTACAAAATTTAAAATAAAATTTTAAAAAATATTAAATTTTGTAATCATTCAAACCAATATTCGTTAGTATTTAAACTTATTGTTAACACAAAAAATAAAAGGTTTTTTTTTTTTTTTTACAATGTAACGCGATCATAATTGAATTTTATAATTAAAGTTTTAAAAGTTTTAAAAATAAAAAATTATATATTTATAATTTTTATAAAACGATGAAAAATATTTTTAAATTTTACTTGAATTTAATTTTCGTTTATTTATCAATAATGGACCATGCCACAAAATTACATTTAATTTAGAGTGGACCCT